AGCTTCGGCAGGAGACTGAAGTAGACTGAAATGTTATTATTCGATTACTGTGTTATTTTACCATGACAAAATGAGTTCAGCAGTAAACTATAGTTTCTGACATACATGATCCTGGTGGAACACTGTTTATTCGCTGAGGTTAGGACTTTTTGCGGGCTTTATTAGTTTGCTGATACACGCCTAGCCACCCAGATGACAAAATACACTCGGACCAGTTCGGCTAGATTCTCGCCTGCCGGAGACTTACCCCTCAGAGCTCAGACTGACTACCTCTGCTGGACCTACTCCGGATGCCTGGACTCACTGCCCGATTCCAGCCCGAGTCAATTGAGCCAGATGCGGCGGCCGAGCGAGCCGGCGCTGCCGCATGCGAGGCGGAATCAGCCCGCGACGCCGCGAGTAGGTTATGCGCTGCGGCCCGGAGCTGGCGCGATTGAATATAAAAAAACCTTATATTTGTTAACGTTATTACATCCATCTGTGTTGATATGACAGCAAACGCATGCTGAGAAGTTCGGGGGGCGTGGTTGATTTTACATAAAGCGTTTGGTTGGAAGCTCGACTCCGCTCATTTTCGCGGCTCCTCCTCTGGCTCCATCAGACAGTCCTTCTGCGCATGTCAAGGCTCCAATTTCAGCAGTCTTTTGCGACAGTTTGTGCCCGTCAAGCAGGCGTTTTGCCCTCAAGGCGTTCAATGGGAAAAGTGGCTGTCGCATCGTCCATATTTTTTACAGTCATTGGTCCATCATCATTACACACTTCATTTTAGCGGCTGAATGAGTACATCATCCGGGTAATTAAAGTCCACTTACTATTTTTTGAGTACTTGCACACTACTTGCACTGTTTATACTACAAAATGGTGTATGCTATTTGGGACGCAGCTAAAGTCCATTTAATTTAAGTGATTTCACTCTGCAGCCATCTTTGAAACGTCTCTCGGGCTGTATGCTTGGGCGTTGGGGAAACATCAAAATCTCCAAAATTGCTTGCCAAGCTTACAATTGAATTTCATATTAGGAATCACCAATACAATTAAACAATATCTGTGCCTTTGGTTTAATTCCTAAATGTCCAAATCACACAAAATCTGCAGAAACTCATATCTGGTCTGAGCCCCTCCCCCAGAGGATTGTCAGTCTATAGCGATCGATGATTTGCTCCTGTACTAGAAGGCGGGCTTTTTTCACCATGTAGCGATCAATGATTGGCTCCTGTACTAGAAGGCGGGGCTTTATTCACTATATTGATCGTTACACTTTTTCCCATTTAAAAAGATATGAGTGACTCGTCTTGTGTATTCTAGAGTCATTGTTAAAACACAGAAGCCAATTTAAACATAAACAAACACAATAATATAAGACAAAATTTATAAGACAACAAGCCATGTATTTAACTGATATAACACATAAAATAACTCTAACTCATTTCTATTGATGCACCTTGCTATAGTGCTGTGGGCCAGGTCATTATAATGTTTTACTAGTTATTTTGCAAGACATTAGTATTTGGCTTAAAGTGTACTTTAAATGCTTAACTAGATTATTATGTTAAGTGGTTTCGTAATTGGTCATTAGACTTTGCTCTGAAGCCAATCAAAAATATAAATAAATTTATTTTTTTAACAGGAATAAAATATTGACTTTAGCAGTTTTTTTTCAGCCAATTCCTGCCAAAATAAAAATAAGAAATATGTTAGGAAATACTATGTACAATTTCTTTGCTCTGTTAAACAGTACTTGAGAATCTTTAAAAATGACTATGGTTTATGAATTAGCCCAAACACAAACTTATTTACTCAAATGGCCTCTGTGCTTTCACAGCTTACATGCCTGAGACAGACTTCAGCATCAACCATTTATTCCTATGGCGTCTTAGCCTAGTTCTCTAACACCCGCTGTGAGATCAGATCATCCAAAGGAACTGAGTAAGCAGAGACATTTCGTGACGTCCCTAAAAATATTTCAGTTTGTCATCTTGTATAATATTTACTATCATATTAAATCATATATTTTTTTTAATTTAAATTGTTTATAAGTTTTAATGAAAAGGGAAGAGAAAAAAAAAATAACAAAGTTTGACTCAAATTAGCATTTTAGGGCAACAAACTTCAGGACATTTTGAGTTGACTCTACTTTCAACTCAATTACTGTACTTGACTCAAAAAGTCCTGAAGTTTGTTGTCTTACAAACTTTGTTTGTTTGTTTTACAGCGACGCAAATGAAGTTGTGGTAAAAAAAAACTCGATTTTTACACTACAGTAATGAGAATGTGATTTTTAAAAAACAAATGTTAAAAACGTCACAATTTTTTATTATTTTGCATTTAAATACTAAGAGTGAGATATTGTTTTCACATCAGTAATGAGAATTAAAAAAAAATTTCATGTCACGATAATAAAAATGATATCTCTATATATTAAAGTAAATAACATTTTTCAAATGTTTCCAAACTAAGATTAAATATCCTTTTTACATCATGACAGTGAGTGAGATTTTTTTAAATACATCTAAATATTTAAATTCAAATACAGTAATAGAAAGATAATAGAAATTTTCATTTCTTAGTAATGAGAATGAGATTTCTATTGCATTCAAGTCATGAAAACAAAATGAGTTGCATGACAAGGACCAGTTTTTTTCTCTGTACCATCATGGCAATGAGAACACCACTACTACTGCTCTATATAGTTCTAATGCAAATTATTGTTTCCACACAACTACAGTAAGAATACTATTTTCCCCTCTACCTTAGATCATGAAACTGAGTTGTTTTTTTGTTTTTTTGCCTTTTTATTTATTTATTTATTTTTTTTATTATGCATTAGTAATTTACAAATCGTCACCTTGGAATTATAAGGTTCTATCTGCGTTCTTAATGATTTTGAGATATTGAGCTTCAAAGTTTTTGCATTTCATAGCAAACAGTATGTGGGTAACATTTGTTTTTTTTTTTTAATAAAAAGTCCTAAAAAGTGAAGCACTTTTATATAAAAAAACATCCCATAATGTAAATAAGTTGACATTTAATAAGAATGTGTCAATAACTCAATTTTGACAAAAATGACAGATAGAACCTTATAATTCTAAGGTGACGAAATACAGCAAAAACAGGCAACAAACAAAAATTCCAAAGATAATTGAACTAAAAAAAATAAATACAAATGGAAGACATTCACTAGACACCAAAAACAGATTCATAATAGCTTACAAAAGACAGAGCTTTTGCATCTTTTATAAAAATTTGTGATTAGCGCTTCATCATACAGCACTGAGATGCTCTCGGTGACCCGAGTTCGATTCCCAGCTCGAGATCCTTTATCGAGATTCTCCCCTCTATCTGCTCCCCATGCTTTCCTGTCACCTCTATTCACCTTGTTCCCCATGTATGAGCGGGCGCAGCCATTTGAATCTTTTTGCCTCGAGACTTTCGGTCTCATTTGCTTCCATTCAATTTTAGACGTTGAAAACAGCTTGTTGCTTGATGTTGCAAACTGATCATTTTTTATTATATTATAAAAATATAATATTTTGTCTGTATAGTAGTTTGACCATTTCTGTTGTTTATTATTCTTAGTCATTTCTCCCATAGGCAACTGAATCAGAAATTCTAAAACAATCTCAAAAACGAGCGTACTACCGCATTGAAGAATAAGGTCAATACTATCAAAAAAGTTATTTTTGCGGTTCATTCAAACCACTTATTTAAAATATGCTGAAACAACACAATTCTTAAGGGTTTTTTTCAGATAACTTAATTGTTTTACATTCAATCCACTTCAATCTGTACAAACTAATAACTAACTTAATTCCTTCATGTTGATCGTGTGGAACCCAGCATTTTTATAGTGGTCTGTCCTATAAAATAAAGGTTAAAAATTTAAGATTACAAGAAAATTGGTTTATTGAAGATTTTTCAACATCACGGTAATGATGTGTGACCACATGAAGTCAAAATAATATTTGCTGGTTGTTCAAACTACTTATTTAAAATGAGCTGAATCAATACAATTCTTGAGTTTTTTAGGGGGACAACTTAATTGTTTTATGCTCAATCCCTCAATCCACTTCAATTTGCAAAAACCATTAAGTTTTATATATCGAAGTACAATCTATTGGTGTTTGGACAACATTAAGGAATTTGTTAAATTTTTTTTACAGTGTATTTAAACAGAATATCAAGAAAATGTACAAATCAACACTGGTATTACCAAGAAAAAGCAATCAACGTCATATAACTGATATTCATGTATAATTATTTTACATGTGATATAACCTTTGGAGGCATCGTGTTTAAAAAAAGTGCATGGTAATGATGAACAATCTATACCGTCATATCAGGAAGTCAACTCCACCCTAATACACAGACCATCAATACAATCTGCCACCGTCCAGGATTAAATCCCCTCCCCGCTGAGCCAAAACCACACAAACAACCACACATGCTTTAACAAGACAAAACAAGCCAATGGAGCAGGATATAGACACTCCAGCACAAATAATATAGAGAAATGATGGGAAAACTACACGTTTATTCTTAATCAGATCGGATTTTTAGCATTTGATGGACAGGGAGGAGACAGCAGACAGAGGGAGGGTGCATCAAATCCTCACACATACTCGCCATTGAGTCCCAAAGCCTGATAGACACAACTGAGCAAGACCAGGGCGCTATTCAGACTTTTTTTGCATGGATATTTGAGTTCTCAATCTGGAATATTGTTTTGGAAAGACAGAGTGTTTCTTTGACTGTTATAGATGGTGTTTATTTGAAGAATGGAGCCTTTCTGCATTATTTAATCACTTTTATTTTTGTGTTTTGATGGAAATATGTTGCACTTTCCAACGCTTGAAGAGTTTTATTCATCCTGAGTGATTGGGAAGGCTGTGATTGACAGCCATCAGGATCAGTGAAGCTGGTTGAGGACAAGTTTCAGTCCGCCCCGAGCGGGTCCAGTTTGCGCACACACGATCTGTTGATGCTGATGTGTTCGTTTTCAGCCCAGGATGCTGACCTGAGCCTCTGCCACTGCGAGGATGGCGTGGAGCTTGCCCTGCAGTACGCCAAAATGTGGTGCCGCTACGCCAAAGACCTGCTCACCTGGATGGACAAGAGAATCAGCCTAGGTGAGTGCTTCTAATTTCTGTGTAAGATCACACACTTTTACTGTCAGAAATTAGATGTGTTTAATGTTCCGACACATTGTATTAGGCTGGATTTGTTAAGCTGTAATCATAGATCACTTCTGCCTGGAAGGGAAGTCGAAGGTCCTCTTCTTGGAAACAGCATAACAGTCTAAATTTAGATCTTGGAGAGAATATGACTTGTGAATGACACCTGTAATAGGATGAAGTAACCTTTAACATTACGTCCCTCCAGCAACGCCCTCTGGTGGACAGTTTTCTGTATACTTAAAAAAAAACTGTTTAAAGGCATTGTTTTACCAAATTCTTGACAATTCTTTATTTTTCCAAATGTTTTTGAGTTTCTTTCTTCTGTTGGACACAGAGAAAGATGTACTGAAGAATTTTTGGGAAAAAACTATTTGATTTCCTTAGTATTTTTTTATTTCTAAACTATGGATTTCAATAGAAATTTAAGTTTTAAATCCCACTTATCAACCCATACTTATGGGTGGAACTATCCCCTTAAGGAAATAATGTGTTTTTACAACAATATACTTGTACATATAATATAAAATAATATAATATAATATAATATAATATAATATAATAAAATACAATATAGTATAATATAATAAAATATAATGTGATATAATATAATATAATATAATATAATATAATATAATATAATATAATATAATATAATATAATATAATATAATATAATATAATAAAATACAATATAATATAATATAATATGATAAAATATAATATGATAAAATATAATATAATATAATATAATATAATACAATATAATATAATATAATATAATATAATATAATATAATATAATATAATACAATATAATATAATATAATACAATATAATATAATATAATACAATATAATATAATATAATATAATATAATATAATATGATAAAATATAATATAATAAAATATAATGTGATATAATATGATATAATACAATATAATATAATATAATATAATATAATATAATATAATATAATACAATATAATATAATATAATATAATATAATATAATATAATATAATATAATATAATATACAAACTTGTATCCAATAAAATATAATGTTACATCGCAACTAAATGAAATTGCATTTAATTTATATTGATTTTTGCAAATAACTAATTACACATTTGTGTAATTTCATTATTCCGTCATCACTGGACTGTTTAAATTGTACTGCAGAATGCTCTGACAAGGATTTATAGTATTTAAAATTATATTTGAATCTATTTTCTATTGAAATTCACATATAAAATCACTGTATGCCATGATAAGTGAAATGCATGCAAATATGCCGTTTTTTATATTTGATAAGGCCATTTACGTTAGTAATATGTTAAAAATATATATGTGTATGCAATTTATATCTATTTCAAAAAGATCTCAGCAGGTAAATGTATATAACGTGTTTAAAGATATGTAAAAAATTTAGTATTAAATAGTATGTTTTAATTTAGCAGTTGATGTATATAAGATAGTTGATTATGTCTTTAATGTATATGCCCACCAAGTTTTTTTGGATGTTAGATTTATATAATCTATACATTTATCCCAATTATATTTTTACATTTGAAGAGTTCAGATGCAAAACCTCTAAGTTTCTGCTGGAATTTCCATTTGAAATGAGCATTTTTCTCAGACTCCTATGTTTATGTTGAGTTATTTCATTTTAAGGGCCCCTAAAAGTGCATTCTTTGCCATAAACTTGAAATTACTGAACCTACAGACAGGAGCCTGATAAAAATGCTCATTTTGAAGAGAAATTTCAAATGGCTTTTAGAGGTTTTTGCATCTGAACTCTTCATATCATTTCTTTCCTTTTTTTGTCGGCTGAGTCCCTTTATTAATCCGGGATCGCCACATCGGAATGAACCGCCTACTCATCCAGCACATGTTTCACGCAGTGGATGTCCTTCCAGCTGCAACCCATCTCTGGGAAACATCCATACACACTCATACACTACGGACAATTTAGCCTGTAATTCACCTGTACCACATGTCTTTGGACTGTGGGGGAAACCGGAGCACCCGGAGGAAACCCACTCAAACGCAGGGAGAACATGCAAACTCCACAAAGAAACGACAACTGACCCAGCCAAGGTTCGAACCAGCGACCTTCTTGCTGTGAGGCGACAGCACTACCTACTGCGCCACTGCGTCTCTTCATATTCTATCTAAGAATCTACTACAATATGTCTATTTAAACAATATTCTAAGTTTATATGTGTAATTAAAGTTTGCATAGTACACATTAATACCAGTACATGCATACAGAATCTACATATATAATAATGGATGTTAATATAAAGTATTAATGAGCTTGATTTATGTCAGTATGTAGGTTTTACTTCTATACATATAAAGCTAACATTAATAAATTTGTACATACAGTATGGGTTGTTTTCCTATACACGTACATGTATTATGTTTGCATATTGACTGTATGTGCTACACTCTTAGAAATAAAGGTACAGGAGCTGTCACTGGGGTGGTACCTTTTGAAAAGGTACACATTTGTACTTTAAAGGGTGTATGTCGGTACCTCAAATGTATATGTTAGTTACTAATAGTGGTAAAAAGAACACGTTTGTACTTTTTAGGTACTAATATATACCCTTGAGGGAATTAATATGGATCTTTCTGGTACACATTTGTACCTTTTGAAAAGGTACCACCCCAGTGAAAGCTCACGCTTATTTCTTAGAGTTTGGATAATGTAATATTGAATTATTTAATTATTTTCAAATTAAATTCAAGTATTTCACATGTATGTTAGTCAGCAGATCATATTTTTGTTTATAACAAGTAAAAAGATCATAAAACTGTTTATTTAAAATATAGTTTACATCAATTCAAATCAAGACTGTCTACTCTGCTTAATATCTGCTGATACTGCTCCTTCAACAGATATTTATCTGACTATAAGAAACAAGCAAGTACATGTCAACTTACACTAACCCTAACCTAACAGTCTACTTATAATCTAATGAGAAATAGTTGGCATGTAGATGCAATGTAACTTAGTCAACAAACAGAGCATCAAAATAAAGTGTGACCAATACTATTAATTTGACATTATTATAAAGTGCACTTTTACGTGTATATATGTTAAGAAAAAATCATGAAAGTTAAGTTAAGTTATATTTTATTTACAGTTAAAGTCTATTAGCCCCCTGAATTATTACCCCCCTCCCCCCCATTTATTTTTTTCAACACATTTCTGAACATAATAGCTTTAATAACTCATCTATAATAACTGATTTATTTTATAGTTGATGATGACAGTAAATAATATTTGATTAGATATTTGTCAAGACACTTCTATACAACTTAACGTGACGTTTAAAGGCTTGACTAGGTTCATTAGTTTAACTGGGCAGGTTAAGGTCATTAGGCAAGTTATTACATAATGATGTTTTGTTCTGTAGACTATTGAAAACAATCATAGCTTAAAGGGGCTAATAAGACTGACATTAAAATAGTTTTCAAAAATTAAAAACTGCTTTTATTCTAGCCTAAATAAAACAAATGAGAAAGAAAAGAAAAAATATTATCAGACATACTGTGAAACTTCATTAGGGAAATATTTTTTAAAAATCAAGGGAGGCTAAAATTCTGCTTCAACTGTATAACTTAATAAAATAATAAATACAATAATTGTTATTGTCTGCAAGTACAGTTTTCTAAAAACATTATATATACTTTCATGATTTAAAGCATTTTACAAGTGTACTCTCAATACATTTAAGTGTCTTCGTTTCTCAGAAGACACAGCAAATGTCTGATTTAATTCAAATTGCTTAAGGATGCAGCTTCAAGTTTAGTGTCAACAAGCAAGCCATTATAACCTTTATAAACAGTGCTGAAATGCATATTTTGCTAGAAACTAAAGTATAATACATGAACAGAGCAATAATAGAAAATTGACTATGAATCCAAGCCAAGAGCAGGCATCAATATTAATGAACGTACAGAGAAAAAATGCAGTACGTGACCACTGTAATATATAATCTGGGCAGCATTCCTGGAATCACTTATAGTGAATATCTATTTTCCATTGAGCAGTGATGCTAATGGCTTCTGGCCCGATAGTTATGTCACCGCATGTTTGATCATTCTAGTATTGATATTTTGCGGCACTCTGATTTCAGTCCACCAACACAGATGTAAATAATTTTATAACTGTTGGTCAATGGTGTTTTTTTCCATTTAGTATTTGGCTACATGTGTTCAGAATGTGAAATATCAGTAGGCCAACACAGAATCTTCACATGCAGAAATCCACAGATTTTTAGCCCATCATTGAGTCTATTTATTTACTTGTGTAAATGTGAGTAAATGTATATTTATTCAACTTTTTAATTCATTTCAGTAATATTATTGACTAATATAAAAATGTTCAAATCATTTCTTTACAATACAGTTTGTAAAGTCATATGTTCTGTCTTTTAGTAGAGATATTATATAAGAGACTTGCTGTGTTTTTCAAATAAGGGGATCTGATTGGATTTGCATAGTGTTAAGTTTCTAGTCCCAAAATAATTCTGCATATATCTGCAGAGTTTTTGCAAATTCTATGCAGAAATAGCAAAACATATCTGCAGATTCTGTTTGGCCCTACATATCAGACACTATTGTGGTGCTGAGTCTTATTTGACAACAATTCTTTTGTTTGTTTACAGAGCAAGAGTTTGCAAAAAGTATTATGAGAGCGGCAGATGCAGCCAAGTCATGTGTTGCTCAACAGGTAAAATGCGTGTGTGTGTTTGTGTGTGTGTGTGTGTGCGTGTGTGTGTAAAACAGTTGTTATATCCTAACTAGTGTATTCATTTCTCCACACATCAATATTTAAGACACTGTTTTAAACTGAAAATAAAATAAACGTTACATTTTGGCTGATCATTTAGATTACAATGGTGTTTGGAAAAGGCAAATTTTTGAAAAACAAAGTTTCAAAAATACCTTTGGGGCCGTTTATGCAGTTTTTCCTCTCCAATGTGCTACTTTTCTATTGTTTTTCAATGTAAACACATAAGTCTCACATCTCATGTCTTTTGAAGTGTTGCACCTGTGAGCACTATGGGGTGGTTTTTTTTTTTTTGGATGTAGTGTAAAGTAGAAAGATCTTCAACTTTTACATGCAGTGCAGCTCATTACTGTCAGGCCCAAAAGCAGTGAACCAAACAGAAGAGCTCGGAGGTGGGGGAACCATTGCGAAAGTTGGCATGACAACAGTTTTATTGACTGTAACGTCACTTGAGCATTATGCTCGGACATTCTATTTGAATGGGGAATCATCAAATTCTTCAAAATTGCTTGCCAAGCTTACGATCAAATTGCATCTTAGGAATCACCAATAAAATGAAACAACATCTTTCTCTTTTGTTTCATTTCTAAATGTTTGAATCACACAAAATCTGTAGACACTCACTTCTGGTTCAAGCCCCTCTCCCAGAAGCTGTGTCTCAATTTAGAGGCTGCACCCTCTGAAGGATGCATTCGAAGTGCGCTGCGTCATTGCGGCACGCCGAAGGCTTTCTCGTTTAAAAAGAATTCAAAAGGTAATGAAGGACACAACCGGTGATCCTTTGCGGCCTCGAACGTCCCAAGATTCATTGCGCACTGATAGTGGCAGGATGTTTTTAAAAAAAAACTCCAGATTAAATGTATGAATGAAGTTTATTTTACTTGGAGATCTAAACACGTTAAAAAAACAAAAAGATTATGACATATCCTACTTAAGAGAGATTTTATTGACAGTTTACATTTTAATGCGTACATGTATGGATCAAAATAGACATATTTCCAGCTTCTGTATACCTTTTTTGCCTTCAGATCGCTAAAAATAAGTTTTATAATCACTTTGAAAAAAAGTAATTACAAATTTCATAAGTGCTTATTAACAGCAGCTGTTAAGGTTGCCTGGTGATGAGATCCGGACTCTGCAGGCTAGATCAACTCATTTCAAAATGCTCAGTTCAGTTGTGGATTTCAAAGCACTCACCTTTAAAGTCTGCATCCTTCGGAGAATGCAGTCTCTGAAATGAGACACAGCTAGAGAATCATCAGTCAATAGCGATTGATGATTGGCACCTGTACAGAAGGTGGGGCTTCATTTCCCATATTGACTGTTACACTTTTCCCCATTCAAAACTAAATATATGACACGTCTTGTGTATTCTAGGCTGTTTCTCAATATCAAGTACGCAAAGTTGGATTTGCATCCTTGGAAGTTTAGACTTGCCAAGTTCAGACTTGGAAGAACGAACTGCCGGGTAGTACTTCTTCAAATGGAATGGCAGCGTACTTTATGCTCTAACTTACCTCACCATGGATTCATCTGTTTCACTGTACATTAACAAAAAAATGATTTAACTATATAAAGCAAGACCCTGTAATAAATATTATATTAATATTACGAATTTACATTTTTGATTTAGGAAAATGTAGCCTACACATAAATTCATGCAAATTTGAAGTAAAATGAGCTATTATACACAGACACGTGTCTCTGATTATCATATTTAACAAACTACAATGGTAATTATACAAGTAATATATATATATACACAATAAGAAATAAATATTACGTCAAACAATTTGGTAAACAAATACAAACAGCGTACAACATGGTTACATAATTATAGACAATTATAAAACGTAACAAAATAATACTGAAAAAATAATACACCTGAGATCAAATAATAGATTTAAAAGATCAAAAACTGTTTGATAAATATGCACAGAATGAATTAAATATAATGTTTTAACTACAATGGAGTGATGAGATCCAGCATCCGACATGGACTGGCCGAAATAAAACTGCTCTCGGCGTGGGAGGTGATGACCATGGGGTCCAAATAAGCTGAGGCACATTGTCAAAGTCGCGTTATATTTGTGAATAAACTGCAGATTCGAGTTTAAAACAACTACATTCTCACCTGAAAATCTGTTAAAACTTAATTTTGTGACACGGTAAAGGAGTATTTTAAAAACCGTGCCGGTTTTCTCCTACACTATTAGCGTTTGCTGGTTTAGCTGCAATGCATTCTGAGATACCTGAGCTTCGTATTAAAAAATTAAAAAAATATATTAAAAAAAAACTTTAAGTCTGAAATTTGTGCATTATCGCAAATAAAAAAAACTGTAAAGAATAAGGAAACTATCACAGTTAGAGTAAGGAGGACCCAAATGCAGAATGAGTGCAGTGGGTGTTTATTGACAATAATGTGATATGAGGTAGGGGTAAGGTGACACACAGTCCAACGGTGATGAATAGGGTAGTGCTGGGGAATCTTGGATGGAGTAGACAGACAAAGGTAGATGTGCTGGCGAGTCCTTGATGGAGGAATCAGTGGCCACAGATTGCTTAGGGAACAGAAACCTGAGCCAGGATGCTCAGAACAGGCAGGAGGTGGTGAAGCCTTTAAATGAGGCACCCCTGAAAAGTAGTGGTCTCACCAGTGGTAGCCTGACAGAACGCCAGCCGCCAGGGCTGGATCAAAACAAGATTCTCTCTCTCACACACACAGACACAAGACAAAGGGAAAGTAAATTAAGAAAATAATAAAGGAAAATTAATTATAAAATGAAAGTAGAGAGAAAAAAATAGGACTTAACTACTGAAATAAAATGGGAAATAAATCCAATAAAAGGGAAATAAACACAAAGCTATTACTAGAACAAATAAAATAAATAGAAGAACTCAAACAAACAAACTAAAAAAGGATAAACCAGATGGGGATGACTCTGAAGGCCTACTGAAAAACACAAACAAACATTAGACAAAGACAACTCGATCTCACAAACAGCATAGAGAAACGAGCACGGTCAAGCAGTAACAGGTAACACAAGATGCTACAAGTAACAATGAACCAACAAAGACATGAGGGAGGAGAGCACATTATAAAGGCTGGAAAGAAAGAAGCGACCAAGTGTAAACTCTGAGACTAACGAGGACGAAATGAGGGCTAAACAAGTGGGTGTGGCAGCTGGAAACAAGGAGGGAGGAACAAGCCATGTGCTCAGATACAAGATAAACATAGACGCGTTGAATGAGGACAATACAGACACAACATGTAACATAGACTTATGACAGAAACGCATGTTTATTCATATATTTGCTGGTTACTATTTCATAAAACACCAGCAAACCTACTAAACCAGGGCTGTCCAAACTTGGTCCTGGAGGGTCGGTTACCTGCATAGTTTAGCTCCAACTTCCTTCAACACACCTCCCTGGAAGCTTCTAGTATACGTAGAAAGAGCTTGATTAGCTGGTTCATGTGTGTTTAATTGGGGTTGGAACTAAAATATGCAGGACACCGGCCCTCCAGGACCAAGTTTGGACACCCCTATGCTAAACTTTATACATTTTTCCCATTTTCTTTTTCTTTCAAATGCTAAATCACAGAGCATTCATTTTTGATGGAAAACCACAAGAATAATTGAATAATTTCACTGTAAATCAGGCTATTCCAAGATGCTGAGAAGCACTCTTGTAATAGGCTCCTCACATATAAACATGACAATAGCACTCGTTAGATTACATAATAAAATAATTACAACACACACCTTGTGAATTTAGAATCACATTAAACCATATCGCGTTCTCAGAATGCTCAACTGGTGGATAATTGACCATCATAGTGGCAAGATTACATGTTATGTAACAAACATGTTATGTTTATGTTAAGTGTTGTTTTGTTTTATGCTGTATAACTGTCAAATAACTGTCTTGATTGATCTATTTGGACAGGATATGATGCCTCTACAGAATATCTACACACAGGCGCTGGAGCATGATCTCAAGACCAGCGCATCAGCCAAACAAAGCGCTGAAAACATACAACAGCGCTGCTACCAGGTGCTCCATCCAACATCTAAGCAATCTTTACAAACAAATACACTATATCTGATGAATGTAAAGTGTGATGTGTTTGTGTCCCGAAGGCCCTGTCAGCCAAGAGGAACGAGATCGACAAGTGGAGGAGGGAATTCAAAGAGCAGTGGTCAAAGGAGCAGAAGAGGATGGTCAGTTCACTGCCAAAAAATATTTATCTGTTTGATTTATATACACAAATATTTAAAACTTCTTTAATGAAGAAGCATTTTCCAGTCAAGTAAAAACTATATGTTCGTTTTCAGAAATTATAGGTCAAAATTAAGTGAGTGTTTCCCTAAATCAAGTCAAATAATCTGCCAGTAGGGTAAGTAAAATATTCTCGGTTTAAAATAAGTTTATTTTGCCTCCCCACTGGCAGATTATTGAGCTTGTTTTTCCTTAACAGCTTAATAATGACAGAATTGAGGTGATTGTTTTGGCCCCATAAGAAAAAGAATGTCTTATATTGGGAGCTTGGAAAGTCTTATTGTATGTGTTAAATCTCAAGTAAAAAAATCTAGGAGTTCTCTTTGATTCTGAGCATTGTCTAGAAAAACAAATGAGCTCAGTTGGTAAGAGTAGTTAGGGTGCTTTCATACTAGCACTTTTGGTCCGCATCCAGGTATGTTTGACTTTAGAGTTCAGTACATTTAGCTAGTGTGTGAACAATGTTTTCTGAACTCGGGTGAACAATCAAACTTGGGTTCGGACTAGGCAATCGAACCAACATCTATGCTTTCCTGAAAAAAGTCATCCATGCTTTTATCATATCTCACCTAGACTATTGTAATTCCTCATATATTGGTCTCCTTTAATCTTCATTGGCACGGTTGTAGTTGGTTCTAAATGCGGCAGCAAGACTTTCAACAGGCAGCAAAACACCTGCTTATATTTCACCAGTTTTAGCATCCCTTTAATGGCTTCCCGTTAATTTTAGAATTTAGATTTTACTTCTTGTTTTTTAAAGCACTGGATGGGCAAGCACCTTCTTATGTCTATGAGATATTAATATGTGGATGACCAGTAACTTTTTAAAGTTTAATGCCACTAAATCTGAAGCTCTTCTGGTTGCCTCTAAATCTGCTCTTTCCAAAGCTCAATCCTTTATCTATCAATAATTCTCCAGTAAATTTTACAACTCATATTCAAAGTCTTGGGGTTATACTAGATGGTATGCTTTCGTTTACTTCACATATTAGTTATATTTCAAGATCTGCCTTTTTTCTCTTGCGTAACATTGCAAGACTTCACCCTTCACTATCCCAACAAAGTACTTGTACATGCTCTGGTTACATCAAGCATTTATTATCGCAGTTCCCTCCTATCTGGTATCCCTCTTAACCAACTTCACAGCTTACAGTTAATCCAGAACTCAGCAGCTAGGGTAGTCACCCGCTCACTTGCTTCTGAACACATAACTCCAATTCTCTTTCACTTGCATTGGCTTCCCGTTCTTTATCGTGTACAATATAAAATTCTTTTTATTAACTTACAAAGCACTTCACAACCTGTCACCCGATTATCTCTCTGTTTTTCTTCACTGGTACACTCTTCGGCACTCACTGAGATCTTCTACGGCTAAACTGTTTTCAGTTCCAAATTTTAAGATTAAATCATTTGGTGGCAGGGCTTTTAGCTGCATAGCACCACAGTTATGGAATTCACTGCCGTTAGATATTTGTCAGGTGGACTCTATCTCCAATTTTAAATCCCAGGTTGAATCCTTTCTGTTCAGGATTGCTTTTTAAGGCTCGGTTAAGTTGGGGATGGTCAACAGTGTTATAAATGTAATTACAGAAAATAATTACAAATGTACATTACTGGTCAAAAGTTTGGGATAATTTTTTTTTCTTGTTTGTTTTTTATGAAAATGTTTGTGTCTATTACGTCAGTCATTATTGCTTTTATTCTCATTTATAATAATAATAATAATAATAATAATAATTAATATTTGAGTGATTTCTGAGGGATTGTGTGAGTCAGAAGACTGGAGTAATGAAGCTTAAAATTCATCAATAAAATCACTGGAATAAATGATTAAATTAAATGATAAACTATACTTTTAAACAGTTATTTTATGCAATAACATTTCACAATTTTACAATTGGTACTGTATTTTTGATGAAATAAATGCAGCCTTGGTGATCAGGAGAAGGTCATTTTAAAACATTTAAAAATACTACTGACCCCAAACTTTCGACCGGTAGTGTAATGTACATGCATGTATTTAATCATTCAATCAAAATACAGTGTAAAAAACATGTATTTACATATTATTACATTCTAACAAATGATTCATTTCAGTCTAAGTACATATTAGTTAAGACTATCTAATATAAAGTGGGACCGTTTTTGCTGATGTATGTTACTGATGTGGATTTGTGTATTAGCATGATGCGGTGTCAGCGCTGAAGAGAGCCCGGCAGCAGTATATGCAGCGCTGTGAGGAGCTGGAGAAGGCCAAAGCCATGACTGCCAAAGCTGAAGAGGACACTGGCGGTTATAAGACGCTGGACAAGAGGAGGAAGTCCAGAGATGATGCACAGACCAAGGTCATTCCTCATTCTGTAATTTCACATCAACAAAAGAGAACAAAGCATAATAGTTTTTCAGTTTAATAACTGCTTGTTTCGGTTATTTTTTTATCAGTGTTACATATCTGAGAGTTGCCTTGCTTAACACTATCTCGATGTTACCTGAGGAAGGTAGTTTACCTGCTATATTAGGACAAATTTAGGTTGTTTGTTTTTTTTTTGTGATGCATTTTGTTTCATAATTTAAAATCCAAAATGAATACAATTGTGAAAAAGGCCTGTTATTTTTGTTAAATGTACCTCTGCGAATAATAATATTTAATAATTGTAAAAAAAAAAATCATATACTTTAAAAAGAAATACTCACACATTTCTTTTTTTTAAATCGGAACAATAATCCTATATTTGAATGAATCAATAATAATAAATTATAAATTATAAATTAATCAATAATAATAAATAATCACTTATTTAAATAAAAAAAATCTGAACATAATAAAATAATGTGAATTTGATGAACATACAATTTTTATTATGGCTCAGAGTTGCTCAGAAAATGTAATTGTATTGTTTGTAAAAGTATAAAATTGTAATGGTAAGATTTCTAAAACACTATGGTTTCAATTAATAAGCTTTTTGATCACAAACGTTTTATTTAGCTATTTAATGAAGGCCAAACATTCATTCATTTATTCATTTTCTTGTCAGCTTAGTCCCTTTGATAATCCAGGCTCACCACAGCGGAATGAACCGCCAACTTATCCAGCACATTTTTACACAGCGGATGCTCTTCCAGCTGCAACCCCTCTCTGGGAAACATTCACACACATTCATACACTACAAACAATTTAGCCTACCTAATTCACCTGTACTGCATGTCTTTGGGCTGTGGGGGAAACCGGAGCACCCAGAGGAAACCCACGCGAGTGCAGAAAGAACATTCAAACTCCACACAGAAACACCAACTGAGCTGAGGATCGAACCAGCGACCTTCTTGCTATGAGATGACAGCACTACCTACTGCGCCACTGCGTCGCCTAGACCAAACAAATGAATTTTTTTTTAATTTAAATAAAAACTAGTTAAAAAAATATATTATTACATATTGCAAAATAATATTAATTGTATTTAAAGGATATTGTGTCAAAGCAGTTATTTGCTTTTAAATATTTTAGTTGTCTAATCAGTAAAATAGTTTGACAGAACTTTTTTGCAGGAAATAGTAACTTCAAATAAAACTTCGATACATTTTTTAAGAGAAATAATCTTCTCTTTGAAGAGAAAAGATGACGACTTTAATAATTTGTATAATTTGTATTCATAATTCTGAACACGAGAACCACTCAAAGTTCAATGTAAAGCAAACAAACAGTGTGTACAAATATTTAGCTGAAATCATAATATCTACTTCATTTTACAGTGTCCTTACCACAAGTTACACAAATTATTAATAACAGTAATTTAGGATAGTTATAATCATACAAGTTACATATAAGTTTCAGATGGCAGCTCTCATCCGAACTCTTTATTTGTGATTGTGTAGGTTACAGAAACTGAGATGCAGTACAGACAGTGTGTGAGTGAAGCAAACAACCATCAGAAAGAGCTGGACAAAGTGAAGCGCAAGATCATCGTCCACATACGCAAGCTCATCTGTCAAGGAGACACTGTGCTGAAAGAGGTGGGTTCCCCTTTGAAAAGTTTTCAGCAATGAGCCAGAAAATCATGCACAGTATAGAGACCTAAATGCTATTAACAATAGGCTTTTATGTTTAGCACTGTTAAATGGACAGCATACCATTTATAAAAATGTTGTTATTATTTTCTTACTATTACTATAATTACTATTATATCAGTAGCTACCACTTTGCAACATTCTTCAAAATATATTCTCCACTTCTACTGTTGAAGTTATTTAACCCCCTTTGATTTTTTTTTCTTTTTTAAATATTTCTCAAATGATGAGCAAGGAAATGTTTACAGTATGTCTGATAATATATTTTATTCTGGAGAAAGTCGTATTTGTTTTATTTTGGCTACAATAAAAGCAGTTTAGAATTTTTAAAAAACTTTCAAAGATCAAAATTATTAGCCCCTTTAAGCTATTTTATTTTTTCAATAGTCTATAGAATAAACCATCATTATACAATAACTTGCCTAATTACCCTAACCTGCCTAGGTAACCTAATTAACCCAGTTAAGCCTTTAAATGTCACTTTAAGCTGTGTATAAGTGTTCTTGAAAATTATCTAGTCAAATATTATTTACTGTCATCATGACAAAGATAAAATAAATCAGTTATTAGAAATGAGTTATTAAAACTATCACTTTTAGAAATGTGTTGAAAAAATCTCTCCATGAAACAGAAATTGGGGGAAAAATAAACAGAGAGGCTAATAATTCAGGGGGGCTGATTGCAACTGTAAATAAATGTTTGGAATTGAGAGCGAATAAATAGTAATTGCATTTAATTTTGTTTGAGTTAACCATCCATTTAAAGAATAAATCTAGCAAGCCCAAAAATGCAACAACATATGAGTAGTGACCAATTAGAAAATGTACGCATCTTCAGAGTTCCCATTGGTCATAGAATTTCTGGAATATTGTTGAATTTATTAAAGAAATTTCTTTAATCAAAGTTATGGGATATCTGGGAGTTTTAATTGTCATTTTAAATTTCACCTCCTATTTATTTCAATGCAATTTTCTTGCTTTGCACTTTTAAGGGACAGCTCACCTTTAAAAAACATCATTTCCCACCTCGCATTTATTACAATGTAATTTTTCTATGCTGCATTTTTACATATTTAAAGTTTATAAAATTATTTTGATGTGTTTTGTTGTTATGGTTAGGGTATTTTACACTGCCATCTTCTTCCGTTCCCACTTTCCCAATCACCAGGCTGTATCTGGTAAATCCTGTCTGTTGCTTTTTATTATTTTTAAACAGTTTTTGGAGAAGAATGGCTTATTTTGCATTGAGCTTTCTCTACATCATGGGTCTCAAACTCAATTCCTGGAGGGCGGCAGCTCTGCACAGTTTTGCTCCAACCCTAATCAAATGCAGCTGATGCAACTAATCAAGGTGTTCAAGACTCTTTAGAACACCGCGATTATTTGGATCAGCTGTGTTTGATTAGGGCTGGAGCTAAACTGTGCAGAGCTGCGGCTCTCCAAGAACTAAGTATGAGACCCATGCTCTACATTTCATTTGGCATTTATTTATTTATTTTTGTTTTTTGCTTTACACAAATTTCCACATTTTAATTCTTCATTTTGACCTCGAACCATTGGTCTCTTTCTTTTTTTTAATTACTTTAAGAGAGAGAGAAAGAGAATGTATACTTTTGCTGGAATGATGCATATATGCAAAATATTGAAGTTTAATGATCACAATAACACACTTATCCTAGTTTAAATAGGCTTCAGCTGAATGTGTGTTGCAATAATGTGAACCTCAAATGTTACAACCTCAAAATATTATACAGTTCAAACTGTGCCTCACACAGGTGAGTGGGCTTGACAAACCAACTGTAGAAACACTCCCTTACTACTTACTCTAGCACTTTAGTTCTCTAGCACTAACAGTTTCTTTGTGTATTTAGCACTTCTTGTGTGTATTACCAGCCTGATCTCACGAGGAAACGTAGGTATTTTACGTTTTGTCAGTTTAGTGGCTAATTCGCACAAATTTGTATGAGTTCAGTTGTTTGAAAATGTACGATTTTTAAAAGGAGATGTGGCACCCCACCCCTAGTCCCAACTGTCATTTGGTGATGAGCAAATCGTACTAAATTGTACAAATTAGATTGTACGAATTCATATATTAATATTAATTAGCCACTAAATCAAAAAGTTACAAATTACCATGAGATTGCGTTGATATTGCCTCTTCGTGTTGAATTGCTGAATGCCTCTTTGTTTGTAAGTCGAATGACTAAATGTCACATGATGCATATCAAGCAGGTCACACATATGAGGGAAATTGCCGTGTCATGTGATGTCTGTGACAACTCAAGCTATCGCACACTGTGCAGGCGCATACTACATGCAAATATTGTGTTATTTCATCTAAAAAACTATGCAGAAGGCAAATTTAATGCCATATGAACAGCATCCTTGTTGGCCAACATCTGTGGGAAATCTGCGACAACTAAAAGAAAATTGCAAGCTTCTGTAAATTGAGTGTCTAGTATTCAATTTAGCGATTACAGAACCACATAAATCTAGAGGAACTGCTCAACACAATAGCTGCCTATTTATCTATTCTTTATAAGCAAAAAATCTGGCTTTTAGTCATTTTTTTACTTTAGGGAAATGTAGGTGAATGTGGCTTAGAGTGGGAACACTGTATCTTTATACTTGCAATAACCCATGTCGTCCTAACCAGTGTCTGTGGTTTGTTTTTGCACCAGGCGACAATGAAAATGTTCAATTTCCAGCGGCAGCAGACTGAGCCGGTTCCCCTGGCCTACCAAAATCTGCAGTTGACCTGCGCACCCTGTGAGCCAGGTGAACCTTACCTGCACTACATCCTGGGCAAACGCCTGCCTGACCAGCCTCCCCAGATCTACATCTTTCAGGAGTTCATTCCCCAAAACAGGAGGTGAGGACACATGCTGTTCCTCAGTCATTTTATTCATCTCAGTTTTCATAAAAATATTAGGTACCAAAACTGTTCCATGATAAAAAAAAATATTGAGAATAATATAAAAAAGACTACTGTAACGTGTCAATAAAGTGTTTTGGCAAATTGTTAGTAAATTTAGTTTGCATGGCACATTAGCAGCAAGTTGCTAGGATGGTTTAACATATTTCAAGCATCGTTATCATTTTAACATTTTTAGTATATGTAAGTATCAGGTTTTGGCACATTGTAAGCATTTTTAGTTTGCATTGGCACTTTAACAGCATGTTGCTATCATGTTTTAACAAATTACTAGCATCTTGTTATCATTTTAGTATGTTTTATATAGCATGTTAATAGAGTGTTTTAGCAAATTGTTAGCATTTTTAGTTTGCATTGGCACATTAATAACATGTTGGTAGCATGTTTTAATATATTGCTAGCATCTTGTTACCATATTAGCATGTTTTACTCTGGTAACTTGCTAGTGGAGTGTCTTATAGTTCGCATTCATAGTTTGCATTGGCACTTTAGCAACATGTTGCTTTCATGTTTTAACATATTTCTATCATCTTGTTTTCATTGTAGTATGTTTTATATAGGTAGCATGTTAATAGAGTGTTTTAGCACATTGTTTAACACACATTAATAACATGTTGCTAGAATGTTTTAACATATTGCTAGCATTGCTATCTCTTCATTTTTTTCTCTGGTAGCTTGTTAGTATCATATTTTTAGCACATTGTTCATATTTTTTGATTGATTTGCCACATTAATAGCATGTTGCTAGAATTTTCTAACATATTGCTAGCATTGTTATCATTTTAACATTTTTCACACATGTAACTTGTTAGTGTCATGTTTTGGCACATTGTTAGCATTTTAGCTTGCGTTGGCACATTAACAACTTGTTGCTAACATGTTTTTACATATAGCTAGTACCTTGTTAACATTTTTTGCATATTTTACACTAACATCTTGTTTGTAGCATGTTTTAGCACATGGTTAGCACTCATAGTTTGCATTGGCACTTTAGCAGCATGTTGTTAGCATGTTTTAACATTACTAGCATCTTGTTATCATTTTAGTATGTTTTACATCGCTAGCATATTAATAAAGTGTTTAGCACATTGTTAGTTTTTTTAGTTTGATTTGGCACATTAATAACATGTTGCTAACATGTTTTTACATATAGCTAGTATCTTGTTAACATTTTTTGCAGATTTTACACTAACATCTTGTTTGTAGCATGTTTTAGCACATGGTTAGCACTCATAGTTTGCATTGGCACTTTAGCAGCATGTTGTTAGCATGTTTTAACATTACTAGCATCTTGTTATCATTTTAGTATGTTTTACATCGCTAGCATATTAATAAAGTGTTTAGCACATTGTTAGTTTTTTTAGTTTGGTTTGTCACATTAATAACATGTTGCTAGGATGTTTTAACATATTTCTAGCATTGTTATCATTTTAAATTTTTTTCACTTGTACCTAATTAGTATCATGTTTAAGCACAATGTTAGCATTTTAGTTTACATTGGCACATTAATAACATAATGCTAGCATGTTTTAGCATATTGCTAGCATCTTGTTACCATTTTTAGCATGTTTTATATTTTTAACATAATAATAACATGTATTAGCACATTGCTAGTATGATTTGCTGGCATATTTAAACATATTAGTAGCATCTACAGCGAATAACCTTTTCAAACAAACATATTAATGGCATAATTTTAAATCATTTAAAATTTTACATTTTCATTGTTTTTTTACTATTTTGAGAGTGCACAACTGTGTTTTTGTGTATTTACTAAAATGCTGCTTGGTGGTTGTATGTCCTGACATTGGTTTAATGTTTTTAAACACATTGATAACATGTTTTGACACTGTTAGTCTCTTACCGCCATGTTTTAGCATGCTGTTATAGTATGTTGTAACACATTGCTAAAATGTTGCTCCAAGTGCTAGCACATTTGAAGCATCTTTTTATGTTTGCTATACGGTTTCATCTCATTCCTTGCATGCTGCTAGCATGTTTTCTTTCATTATGCTAACATCATTTAGAATATCCTAACATTTCCTATGGTAATGTTTAGCCTTATCAATAATGACTAATATATTAACTTTTCAAATACATTAAAAGGAATAGCAATTATTTTTTTGAATAGTTTACAGTGTTGCTCTTTTTGTGTGTTTTTGATAAAATTAATTTATTATTGGTGAGCACAAGAGACTTCTTTCAAAAACTTAAACAATAGCAACATACAGTAATCAGCATTTGAAATGGTTCAAAACCTTTCATTAAACTGTCCTAGAGATATTCAACAACACATATTCTCAAATGTCTAAACATATTGCTAGCCTCTTGTTATTATTCTAGCATGTTTTACCTCAATAGCTTGTTAGTAGCGTGTTTCAGCACACTGTTAGCATTTGTAATTTGCATTGGCTCATTAATAACATGATGCTAGCATGTTTTAGCATATTGTTACAATTTTTAGCATGTTTATATTTTTAACATAATAATAGCATGTATTAGCACATTGCTAGTATGATGACAAATGTTGGCTACTGTATATATTTGTATTTTAAATGCTGTGTAATTAATCATTTTCTTGTTCAAATCTATGTAGATTTCTCTATATCTATAAAACATCTGTTTTCCACTTTTCATTTCTACAGATCCCCACCAACAGGTCGACGTAAACAGAGCAATATCCAACAAGATTTATACGCACTGCCAGATGATCTAAAACACAGCAGCAGTTTAGTAGATGGACGTAAGTCTGATTCCTGTCATGAACTTTGTTGGATTTATCTAGTGCTCCAGAACATTGTCATGTGACTTGTTAATGTACAGGACGACCCGGCCAGAGCGACAGAGACAGCACTGGAAGTCTCGAATCGCTGTCCAGCCCAGGTAGAAGAAATCTCTTTAAAATTTTAACCTAACCACTGTTCTGTCAGGATGTTACTCATGTATCTCCTCTCTGAAGCTCATGGGACCCGTAAGCTGCCCAAGGCCTCCTCCACAGGAACCATGTCTTCAGATGATCTGGATGAGAAAGATCCAGAAGGTGGTTTGCACACTTCACATTTTAAATGCCTTTTATGTATTTTGCGATGCATTTGTTGACTCTTCTTCATCCGTGTGCAGAGAGTGAAGAGGGTTTGTCTGACAGCAATGGCATGACATGCAAACCCCGATCTGCGTCACGTGCCGCCTTAACCCACAGACTGAGAAAAATGAAGAGCAAGATGGTCAAGTGTAAGCAGTGTGACAACTACATCCTGGTCAACGGGATTGAATGTGAGGAGGTTAGTGCTGTTTAACGGCCTGAACCTTTTGATTTAAGGGGTCCTTATTATGCTTTATATTGTTTTGCTTGGTTTGTCCCAGCCTTTACGTGTCCTCTGAATGTGTCTGAGAAGTTTGAGCTCAAATTACCTCGCAGATCATTTATTATATTATGCTTCGCGCACTCCTTGCATTTGATTTGTGTGCGTTGCTTTAAATGCAAATGAACTGCTGCTGCACAGAACCTGTTTAGCGTCAACACTTCACTGAAGGCGTGTCTGAAGTTGAGGTTGCTGCGATCATCATAGCAGCATCAGCCAATGAAATTCCGTCCGCAATAGGCCACTGTCTAGCTGGTGTATTTGCATACAGCAATCTGATGTATTTGCATACAGCAATCCCCAGACAATCTGCCCATCTGTGTCCACGGTCCTGCTTTTACACGTCATATTTCTCCTACTCATGTTTGTTACCCCGTATATATTTCATACAAATAAGCAGTTTCTGTGTTATTCTTGGCAGCCCTGTTCACTCAGCATTGCTACATTCCTTTGCTAAATTCTTCTAGTATGGTTATATGTGTGTTTACATATAATGTCATGATGGTGTATTAAGTAAATAATAGTTCACTCACTCTCTTGAATGTCGTTTACATACTTATATAGCTTCATATGGGTATTTAACATATATAATCAGTGCTTCACATATTCAGTTATTTTACATATTCAGTCATTCTCCAGCAAAGCCTCTCATAGTAGCTCCTGCTCTGCTGCACACTTCTGCATACTTTTAGAAAATACATTTTCTTTAGCATTTCTATGAAGAAGAAAGAATAGATATTGGCTGTATTAAGTAGAAATAGACTGATCAAAGTGAATGGTTAGTTTGAAGATGCAGACTGACTGTCACCCGTCTCTTGTCAGTGCGGTCTCGCAGTCCACAGGAAGTGCCTGGAGGTTTGCCAGCTGGAGTGTGAGCACAGGAGAGGGTTCGTTTTTGGCACTGAGTTCTCTTCACTGCCCAGAGAAACGCAAGACTCTGTGCCCTTTGTGGTCCTGCGCTGCACTGAAGAGATTGAGAACAGGGCTCTTGGAGTACAGGTAGGAATATAACAAAACGCTGAGCTACTAACAAAACTGCATCAAAGAAAATTACAGGAATTACTTTTCTGTTCCGTGTTTATTAGTTATTGCTAATGAAAGCCAGCTAACACTACTGCTCATAAAGTAAATTTAAGCCCAAAGTATACCACATTTCTTTTTGAATGTGTGTGTCAGTAAAGATGCAGAGGCTTTCAAAGTATCAATAATTTAGTACAGACATAATAATTATACATAAATTATAATTGTTAATAAATAAGTATTTTTGTTTTTATTTATTTAGCTATTTACTTGATTTGATTTGATTGATTGATTGATTGATTGATTTGATTGATTGATTGATTGATTGATTGATCTTATTTTTAGTTAAGTTTTCTTTACCCTCCTGTTCTTCTTCATGTAGGGAGTGTACCGAATCAGTGGATCCAAACCTCGCGTTTTGAAATTATGTCAGGCCTTTGAAATCCAGAAGGACCAAGTTGACCTTAGTGACCTTTCACCACACGACATCACCTCTGTACTCAAGCACTTCTTCAAGGAGGTAAAAAAAAAGCAGTTTTTTTCACTCATGCTCATTTAAAGCCTCTCATATGAACAGTAATGGAAAAAATACTGAAAAATCATGCAAAGTAAAAGTACCATTAAGGCCTGTGCACACAGGGACTCTATATTTATGAGGTCCAAGGAACATTTCCAGGTTTTTATGAATAGGCTACTTTATGATAATACTTTATATTAACTTAATGTTGACGTTTTATTTTTATTTTTTTTTTACCTGTAAGCATAGTACAGTGTTAATGTTCAAACTATTTATAACGGTAAAAGTGGCTGACAACAATAAATGTTCATAATAATAGTAATTAATCTGCCTGGTTTTTGAACTGTACAGAGCTTTAGCTGCTTAATTAGGCCTACTACGCTACTGTATTTTAATATTGGTCATTATGGTGGTACGTGGAGAGACAATTTTTTTCTGAAGTGGTACTTGGTGAAAAAGGTTTGAGAGCCACTGATGTAAATGAATATAGAGTTCATAATTAAGGAGGAAAAAACATCTCAGGCCAACCATTTGGTGCAGATTCTGATATTTAACCATCAGGGGTCTGAGGTGATTTTGGGGCCCCTAAGATGTTTTGACATGCCCTGGCATTTGTGCTTATTGCAGCTACTTATTACAGTACTTAGTACTGGCCAACATTTAGTTTTTTGTATTCAGCACAAACTGTGCTACAATAATATGTGAGAAATATTTGATGTACATGATTGCATTTTTAGAAAAAAAAAATATTATGCGTAGTTAGTAGGTTTTGGAGAAGAAAAAAAAATAGCTGAAACAAGGTCCAAAAAAAAAAAAAAAAACACACACACACTGAATGTGCCTGAACAAGACAAGTCTAGAATATTTACTTCACATTTATGTAAAAATTATTTTGTTCTCTCATACAAAGAAAACATTACAATGAATTACAGCTTGTTAAGATTGTTTTGGGTGATCTCAGCTATGCGTGAGTGTATGCATGCTCATGAATAATTCACACCTAGAGAGACAAAAGACACTCCCCACTCACCCATCGAAGGCACTGTAAAGCAATGTCCAGCTGCAAAAGCTAGACCAAACTAAATGCTTGTTGTAATACTTGCTGAATGACCATGTAAACACTCTGGGTAAACAATATACAGTGCTTTGCATATATAAATACACCTCTTACAAATCTATCCATTAAATTAATGTTTAAACAATGCTATACATATTATATTTGTGTATATACATTAGATTAATCAGTACTGAAGCCAAATCTGGAGCTTGTCTAACAAAATAGGTTATGACAATGGTCCAAAAACTAGTACAGTCAAATTTAAATGTTATAGAAAAATATTAAATATAAATTTTAAAAAGAGGAAAAATCAAGAGAAGCAAAAAACCTGAAAATTTTTATTGAAATTTTGTAGGTTGTAATTTAGGTTTGCAATGTTTTGCTTGAATTTAATTGTTGTATTATCTTTTCAAAATATTATTTTAATAAATATACTTGATATATATGAGAGGTGAAACGAAGTTAACATATGTAAATAAAGGAGGTCTTTATAACACAATAACAGAATACTGACATGAAATCAGATTAACATCATGGGTCGCTCAGTATTTCCAATACTGTGTCTTAGTAGGACAACATTTAATTTCTTTGTTTTATCAAATTTTGCTTTTGTTTGCTTTTGTTTTGTTTTAATGTGATTTTATTCTGAAATAATTGTTGAAAAATATTTCAGGGAAATAAACATCTTACATTACAAAAACCAATACTTTAGTAATTCTGGCAAAATAACATGTTATATTTGTATAATTAAGCTAATAGCCTTAAATAGAAGCAGCTTAATGCAAAATAGAGTTTGTTTATACTCTATTTAAAAATAGTAATAAATGTTGTTAACGCTTAGCAGAAACAGTGGCATATAGACTTCATATTAATGCTATATTTTAAAACAGAATGTAATAAGCTATAGGTTTTGTATCTGATCTCTGTAAAAATAGCAATACATTTGGCAATAAATCTAGTTAATGCTTAGTGGAAATAGTGGCAGAGATACACTCACCGGCCACTTTATTAGGTACACCCGTTCAACTGCTCGTGGATGTGCAGTCAACAAATCTGCAGCAACTGCGTGATGCTATCATGTCAATAGTATGTTTTATTATTATTTAATTGTTTAATCTATGCCATGAAGGGTTAAGGCAGTTCTGAAGCCAAAAGGGGGTCCAACCCTGTACTAGTAAGGTTTACCTTATAAAGTGGCCGGTAAATGTACACCTCCGTATTTAGGCTACATAAAACAGTATGTAACAATAACATATTATTTATCAAGTGGAAGCTACCTTATGGAAAAAATAAAGGCTTTAGGCATTTTATTAATACTTTTAGATTCTTTTTTAATAAATTTTTATTTTAAAGAAATGGTTTTGGTGTGTGTTATCGGTCTGTAAAGTTTGTGTAAATAGGAGGGCCTATGTGCCTTCAGAGTAAATAGGCACTCCTGAAAACACATCAAACTACACATCAGTGATTTATACTATAGGTTTAATATAGGGTTATGTAATATGTGGCCTTCTTATCATTTTCTTTTTCAGCTGCCAGAGCCACTGCTCACCTTTGACCTTTACAATGACTTCATTGCTGTGGGTAAGGAGATTCAGAGGCTCAGCGAAAAGGACCACGCCGCTGAGTCTCCTGGGATTGTGGAGAATATAGTGCGCAGGCTCAGAGAGCTCATTGGCCGATTGCCTGTGTGCAACAACATCACAGTGCAGCACATGATGGCCCACTTGAACAGGTACACTCAAAATATTTCGTTTGCTGTTTGTTCAAGCTACTTATTTTAAATGAGCTGAATTAACACAATTCTTCTGGGTTTTTTGGGACAACTTAAATTTGTAAAATGACTAAAAACTGCTGTATGTAAGTTTTTGACTCTTGTAAAGCATAAAAATACCATCATATATTTGCGAGATGTTAAAGCAAAATGCTAAGTAAACATTCTTGTTCATCTAAAAAACAATGCTGAAGCCAGGTATTCTGCTTTGAAAATGTATTTTCCTTGCCAGAATGCTGTCTTTGTTTAGTTTATTTTAACCCGCCCAATGTCAGTTTAGCCAGTTATATTTCAGCACCGCGGGTTGTCTTGGTGTAAAACAGCATATTTTATAGTCAGGTACGCTCTCAAAGCATGTGTCCGTGACTGAAATGCGAACTGCAGTGGACAGTAGCGGACTTTGAAATCGGATGCAGATTCAGAATTCCACATGGTGGTTATTAATTATCAAATAATATAAATATTACGAATGTAAACATTAGATGAGCAGGTTACATTGTAACCCAGTGTACTATCAGCATGCTATGTAACGGGATTTGGCTGTTTGCACCAAAAAAACGTGATAGAAATTTAAATACAGCCATTCAGAACCACAGAATAGTGCACTTACTGCAGTCCAATTAAATTGTAAGGTGTATAATTTAATTAATACATATTAAACCTTTTTAACATTATTAAATGTACATGCCGAATCACTGAGATTTGAACCGAATTTGAAATTGAACTTTAGAACTGTGACTATTTATTTTATTTTCAGGATCTGAGGTGAACTCTCTGCTGCGGCTTTCAGTAGTATGGCAATAAATTTAATGTAAACCCAAGCGGCAACCTCCCGCTCTCCTTCATAAAGAACCTACAGAAGTAACTGAAACTGCAATTTATCGAAGTTCCACTAGTCCTGACTCCATAATAGAGCAAATTTCTATTTTGCCCACCGTTAAAATGGGCAACTTTACAGCAGAAAGAAGGGGTTTACAGTCTGGTACAAAGAAAGATTTTGGTTCATATAGGTAGTATTACTCTTCATGATAACTGTAAGGGGGTCATCCGTTTCCTGTATAATAAGTTATATCAAGTCTGCATAATTAAGGGCGTGGCCACTTAAGTTACAGCTAGATCTTGCTGGTCGCCGTCACTTCACCTCAGCGGATTCCGGCTAATTAGCCGCTGAGCTCGGCATATAAATCGTATTTTTGTTTTGTTTTATGTGGCTTTACACAGTCAGTTGCTTTTATTTCTTACAATTATCAGACAATATGGCATGCTGTGTGCACTTATATGTGCTCACAAACCATTCACATGGCCTCCCAGGTGAGTGAAATTAAGTACTTATATATCATCTCTAAAAATGTATTTGTTTTATTTAAGATTATTTATCATTTATAATTTTCTTTAGACTCGTAATGCACCCTAGAATCAGACAGATTGATTAGCTGTAGGCTCTAGAACAGTTGTCTGAAATGTTGGCATACAGTGGTATGCCTGGATTTCATCAATAGCCTTACATTTACTAACACTATATTTGAAGTATTTGGAAGTAATTCGCATTTTCCTCCTGTAGAAAAACGTCATAAGAACAATGTTTAGTGGCTCAATGTATTACAACAGTGTTTTTAAAAGAGTAAACACTTTATTGATGTAGTGTACAACAGTGTACAAGCACATGTGGTCAGAGCACAAACGGGTCGCAGGTAATGAAGGATTAAGAGTTTCCCCCAAAAGAAAGCCCATCTGAGCAAAATGACAGCATGCGTCTGTAGCTCCCGTCATGCTCTGCCTCTTTGCACTTGTTATTCCCTGGTCGGTGCAATGACGCGCAAACAAAATGGCGACAGTTGGCTACGCCTACTTGTAGCTACTTTTACGTTCTTCAGAAACCCATGGGTGACGTCACAGATACTACATCCATATCTTTTCATCCATATTTTTTAACTGTGTACCAACCAAGGCGGTTTAGTCAATGTGATTACAAGTGGATAATGCTAAATACAAGGTGTGAAACTTTTTAAGTGTTTTATGTTTTAATTGGATGTTTGATCAGATTGCTTTCATAGTAAAAATAATCATAATATATATTTCACAATATATTACAATATAATACATTTACATTTAATACATTTATAATACATTACAGTACAGTGCATTTAAAAACAAAATCACCTACTCTCTGTCTACTTGCATGTTGTAAGGAAGCACACCTAAACCAAAAGTATTCACACCTCACTATATGCTGTAGAATCTAAACACAAAGGTTACAACTGAAACTGTACTTGCCGTCCACATTCTTTTCATTTGCTATCATGAAAGGGATTTGTAGAGCGAGAAAAATAAGACACAGGGCTCCAGACTGCAACTAAATGGTTTTACTTTGCAATCTTTTTTTCCTGTTTGTGCAACTAAGTAGAACAAAATAGTGCTCTTTATTTGAACTTTGTGCTGCAAGAGATCATTTGTTGTTTGTGTGAAGTATGGTTCAGACAAGAAGGGTATTCTGTTATTCTTCTGATGTGTTTGCGCTTCCGATGTGTTTGCTGTCTATTTTTTGACATATTAGGCGCTAAACAGCACTTTGAGATCAGGTTACAAATGCATTAATATATATTAGCAACCCTAAATATTACTAGATTAAAGACAAATGAATCAGAGCTTGTGTTTCAGTTCCCGAATCAACCAGGATATTACATAGCTTGATAATATTCCAATGGGCTTCGAAGGGTTATTCAGCCAATGATAAACGTCCGGTGAAAGCTGAATGCAACTATTTTCAATTTCATTAAATTCCTTTTACAGCATCAATGCTGTAATGTAATTACAATACATTCAGTTAAATAGACTTAAGCATTCATTTAGCTAGCGCCATCAGGATCAGCAGGCTAATGCAGAAACTCCATTGAAAACACTGGAGTAAAATAAACTGTCATATTTTAAAGAGCTGGCGGGGGAAAATGGAATGTAATGCAGTGCTTCTTGTGTGGCCTAAGACCTACTTCATATCGTATATCAATCAGGCAGGGAAGATCAATTATTTTTAAAGAAATCAGATCTTAAACGTGGCAAGTTTTTATTGGAAAGACAGTTCACCGAAAGACCCGAAGCTGGCTGGCTGAAATTCAAAAGTCTGTGAGCTTATTGTTGGTACAGTACATGGCCTGTTTGTCAGGATGTTTGATCTAAAACTTCTTAATTTGGGATCCAAAGACAAACAAATATCTCAAAGGTTAGAGCGACGTGAGCGACATTTGTCAATTATGTTTAAACACTGCAACCAAAGTGTTTCTGTTCAAAAAAGATCATATTAGATTTTTTTTCTGCAGATGTGAGATACCAGTATTAAGCTGAGTCAATCTAATAATGACTGGATGAACCCTACAATCTTTCTATTTTTAAAAGAAGAGAGAGGACAACAAAGTCATACTTATAGGTTAAACACTTTATTTGATATTGGTTTGCATCAGACTCAACATGCAAGGTTTCTGTGCATAACATTTTTTAGGATAACACTTCCTTTTACCTAATTGGTTTACATTTGCTAAATGCCAGAATAATGAGAGTATTTATTTTTTTATTTTTTTTTATTTCTAGACAGTCAAAAGTTTACATACTGTACATTTCCTTGGTATGTTTTAGCTTTGCTTTTAAACTGTATAACTTTGGTCAAATGTTTTGGGTATCCTTCCACAAGCTTCTCACAATAGTTTGAAGGAATTTTGGCCCATTTATTGAGTCAGAGTCAGATTTGTTAAGTGGAGTCAGATTTGTTGGCTGTCTTGCTCGCACAAGCTTTTTCATCTCTGCCCACAAATTTTCTATAGGATTGAGATCAGGGCTTTGTGATGGCCACTCCAAAACCTTCACTCTGTTGTCCTTAAAACACATTTTAACTAATTTGGTTGTACACTTAGGGTCATGGTCGGCTTGGAAGACCTAGTTGTGTCCAAGTTTAAATTTCCTGGCTGATGTCTTGAGATGTTGCTTCAGTATTTCTACATAATGTTCTTTCCCCTTTGTCCTCCAAATGTAACACAGGTCATTATGGCCAAAAAGTTCAACAATCTTAGTTCCACCAGACCACAGGACATGTCTCCAAAAATTATTCTTTTTCCTATTATAATTTAGCAAATTGTAATCGTTTTTTTTTTTTTTTTTTTTTTTTTTTTTTTTTTGATTCTGGCTTGTTAAGTTTCACATGTTGTCACACAAGGAAGCAGTGTGTTTGAGGTTTTTCTAAAATAATATTCTACAGTTGTGCCTCCAATTAACTCAAATGTTGTCAATTAGCCAATCAAAAACTTCCAAAACCTTGACACCATCATCTGAGCTTTTTCAGAGGCATAATAAACTTATTGTATGTAAACTTGACTTTCAAGTTATAACAATTTCTCAAAAAATATCTCATTATTCTGCTATTAAGCATAACAGAAACAAATGTGATAATGCTAACATACCTAAAAGAGAAACATTAGTCACATTAACATCTGACTTTTTTAATGTGCCTTTTTATACAGTGTATGTAAACTTCTGGTTTCAACTGTATATGCCTCATTTATAAGATGTAATAATAATGTCCTTAGAGTGTGTATGCAACATTTCAGCACAAAATACCAAACAAATAACATTTTATAACTATTTGGAACTCACCCTTTAGGCAAATTGTGCCATTTTGGTGACTCTCACTTTAAATTCAAATGAGATCAAAGCCCTTTTTTCAAATAAGGTTAGAGCTACAAATGTTCTCATTCATGGCTGTCTATGCTAATGAGGGAGAGATTATCACCAATGGGAGGGGCTTTCCCCCTCTGGTGATGCACACAAAGGGAGAATGTCAATTAAAGTGTTTCTGCAGACTGTGATTAGAAAAGTGTGATTAGAAAAATAAGAATTAATGCATGTTTAACTTTAGAGGCTGGCTATATTCACACGCTGTTGCCACACAACTGTGTTTAAACCCCTCATAAAAGTGATTTTTGCATAATTGGTCCCCTTTAAATTTTGGTATGAACCCAACATTAGTCTGGAGAGGGAAGGTTCTCAAAAAAGCCAAAAACAAGTGGTGATAAGAGATTTGTATGAGCATGAATATACCATGTGTATTTCTTTCGTGCCATTTTTTTAATGCCGGCTGAAAGCAGCAGCATGAAGTAGAAATACAATATGATTACAACAATACAACTACTGTACAACAATAATGACTGTTTTTAGATTGTTGTGAGGGGTAGGTTTAGGGTTAGGGTGGTGATAGTTAAAATTAAATTAGTGAAAAACAGTTAATGGGTAATTTAATAACTAACAAAAATAAGTCTAAAATATTGTTTCAGCATCGATACTGCAACGTAATCATTGGCAAAAGTCACATCGCAGGATATATAGAGTTGAGCCTGTTTTATTATTCATCATTTGTTTTTGAGGCCTCAGGCCTGTGACTGTATGAAGGTTTTACAAGCATTCAGGCATAAGAAATGTTACCATTTTAACTTTGCATGTCATGACTATTATTTTAGTAAATTATTTATACAACGAAGACTGTGCAGTACTGTTTTACATTTGAGTATTCAGTTACTGGATATCTGAATACTGTTAGGGCGGCACTGAGGCTCAGTGGTTACTGTTGCCTCACTGCAAGTAGGTCGCAGCTTCGAGTCCAGGATGAGCCATTTGGCATTTCTAATAGTTTGCACGATCTCTCCATGTTAGGGTGGGTTTCCACTGAGTGCTTTGGTTCCCCCACAGTCCAAAGACATGCGGTACAGGTGAATTGAATAAACTAAACTGGTCGTAATGTATGAGTGTGAGAGTTTATGGAGAGTGTATGGGTGTTTTCCAGTACTTGGTTGTGGCTGGAAGGGCATCCGTTGTGTAACACACATGCTGGAATAGTTGGTGGCTCATTCTGCTGTGGCAACTTCTAAAATAGAGACTAAGCCGAAGGAAAGTGAATGAATGCATATTAGATTTCTTTATTTTTGTATTTTACTTTATTGTATTCAACTATGCTTGTAGGTTGTTTATTATATTTAATGCAAATGCACTGCGCCATAGAATAATCCCAATCAATCTGAAATGATCAATTCTTTCCAAACAGAGATATTTAGGTCATCTGATGAAATTGTATCAATATCGCAGAGTGACAAAATGTTGCAATGTTAGATATTTTCAATATCATCCAGTCCTAGTCCTAAATGACTTTCTTCTCCTCAGGGTGGCCGAACAATTCGAGGACAACAAGATGTCTCCAGGAAACCTGGGTATTGTATTTGGGCCGACGCTCCTGCGGCCCCTAGTATCTGGAGATGTATCTATGATCGCGCTTCTGGAAACCAGCTATCAAGCCCTCCTGGTGGAGTTCATGATCTCCAACTATGACCAAGTATTCGGTTCCGCCACGAGATCCGGCACACCTCCGCCACCTCCACCCACAGCACCGCTCCCAGAAACTCCACCCAGAGCAACCTGTCCTGTTTCTCCATCCAGCAGCTCCTCTCAGGACCCCACAGCCACGTCTAGAGAACGTCCGCGCTCACTGGAGGTAGGCAATAATGCCGTGACCAGGCTAAAAAAGCTCCCCTCAGGTGGATGTGCTCGTGCGGCTGGAGGAGTTTATCTTGATCTGCTTTGAGCCGCTCTCGCACCGCTTGAGCCTGAATTGTCCCGCCGTGGCCGCGGAAAGGCCTGGAGGGATTAAACGCTTATTCTGTGAAGATTACTTTTGCTTGCCTGTGCGCTTGTGCTTATGTCAGAGTCTCACCTCTGCTGTACTGCGCTTTAAGGACCCAAAATACTTTAGGAGAAATCAAAGAAGAAACAAAACAAGATAGAATAATTTGAAATTACATTTTAATAGGCATATCTTAGCTTTAAACTGATTCACTTTATGAATTATTAATCAATATCTAATTACTCTCATTATTTATGAATTGATCATTTATTTGTTTTAATTGCTGGAACTGTTATCACAATATACGGTACCATCATTTCTTTTAAAAACGTTACAAAAATAACTACATTTTTAAATGTTGCACACATATGTTAATAGTAATTTAAAATATAACACTTATTACAATGTATATATACACACACACACGCAATAGGGTGGCACGATGGCTAATTGTGTGGAGTTTGCATGTTCTCGCTGTGTTCGCATGGGTGGCTCCAGTTTCCCCCACAGTCCAAAAACATGCACTATAGGTGACTTGAATAAACTAAATTGGCTGTAGTGTATGAATATGTATGTAAATATGAGTGTGTATGGGTGTTTCCCAGTACTGGGTTGCGGCTGGAAGGACATCCACTGCGTAAAAGATATTTTAAAATAGTTGGATGATATTTCGCTGTGACGAACTCTGAAATAGAGACTAGGCTGATAGAAAATGATTGAATGAATATATAATTACAATGATTACTTATGAGTCTTAAAAGTTCAAAGGTCTTATAATTGACCCCAGGGGCACTCCAGGTTTTTTTCAATGAGTATTTCAATGAGTGCCCTATATAGGGTTACATTTCTAAGGATGTACAGAGAAAGCAAACAAAGGTTTTAAACAAATTAACCATTCATGGTGGTGAACAACCCTAAATGATAACTTTAATGACATTGATTACAATATAATTTTTAATTGTTCATACAGTTCAAAGGTCTTATAATTGCCCCTAGTGTAACCCCAGGTTTTTTCCAATCCTATATAGGGTTAAATAGCTAATAGGTATACAGAAAAGCTTCCTTCACACTACAAACGACATGCAATGGCAAAGCGACAATCTTCCGTTCATTTCAACAAACAGTGAGCCACTTCTGGCGACCTCCGTCAACATAAGTGACAAGCCTCCTTTCTACTGCACACAAGCGACAGATCGGAAGTCATTCATTTCCAATGAAGAGTAGTCCGGAAGCTGCGTGGAGTTCCGATCATCTCCGTATGTGGAAAATTCGGATCCAAACTGAGATGCGGATCCGTTTAAATATTTGAACTCCTGCAACTAGACCGTATGCGACCGGCCGTACGATTGTGATGTATTTCAGGGTTTTACAAGCAGGTCCGTGCGCACGAGATAAGAAATAGTCGTTTTTTTGGTTATTTTTTTAATTAGAAAAAGTCTATATTAACAAAAACTGACTGCCACAAGGGGGCGTATGATAATAGCTGTGCAATTTAACCCAGTGTCCTCTAACCAGAAGAGTTTACCCATTAGAGGATTTCTGATTATAGCAAGAACCACAACAGAACTCAAAGGTCAAAGTCTTCCACACGTTAAGATTGTCTTAGCAGTTTAATGCTGAATCCTTTCTCACGAGCTGGAGCTGGACCAGGACCAGCGCATTTATTTAACCCACACTGACTGGCACAAATAGATTTATATAATCAATTTATACACTCAGAAAAAATACTTGTTTAAAAATAAGCTGAAACAACACAATACTTGCATTTTTGGGACAACTTTATTGTTTTTATGTTCAATTTACTTAAATTTGTAAAGACTAATAAGTTAACCTAATTCCTTAATGTTGTCCTAACACAAATCAATGTCATTTTATACAGTGTATTTAATAAAAATATGTCTTTTGTGCTCACCAAAACTGGACAAAACATGAATATAATAAAAATTATTTGTCATTTTTTACACAACATAGTGTGTATCTTCTAAAAAACATCAATAAACGTCTAATATTGCAATTTAAAAGTGATAGTAAATGTAAAAGATTTGTAAATCGCAAAAAATGAGACACTGATAATTTTAATCAAAGAAGCCTTGATTTATTTGAGAAAATATACAGTAAAACTGAAATTTTGTGAACTCTTAGATGCAAAGAGATTAGCATTTGTTAATTATTATATGTTTTAAATTATAATTTATTCCTGTGATTTTAATGCTACTTTAATTCATTATTTAACTAACAGCTTTTACAAAACAGTTTATTTACAAATTAATTACAAAACAGTAATATTAAAATTTTCAGTGTCATTTAAAAAATGCACCATTTCTGAATAGGAGTATAAACATCTTTAAAATAAAATAAATAAATAAAATATAAAATAAAAAATTAAATAAAATGAAATATATAATAAAATAAAAAATGAAATAAAATAAAATAAAAAAACAATAAAATAAAATAAAGTAAAATAAAAAATAAAATAACATAAAACAAAAAATAAATAATATAAAATATCATATATAATAAAATATAAAATTAAAAATTAAATAAATAAAAAATTAAATAAAGTAAAAAAAGACAAAAATAAATTACAAAATAAAATTAAAAAATAAAATTAAAAATAAATGAATAGGAGTATAAACATTTTTTAAACAAAATAAAATATAAATATAAATGAATAAATAAATAAAAAATAAAATTAAATAAAAATATCTAAAATAAAATAAAATTTAAAAAATACAAATTTAATACAAATTTTAATTAAATTAAAGTAAAATTAAAAATTAAATTGAAAATAAAAGAAAGTAATAAAAAATAAAATAAATTAAATTAAAATAAAGTTAGATGAAATCTTACTGAGGCCAAAGGTTATGAAATTGTTAATTTATGTAACTTCACACTCTAATTTTTCATGTAAATGAACCGACTCATTGTTTGTAATACTGCGTTTTAAAAAGCACAACTACGTCAAATCTAAATTCTGCCTTATTGGCTCTCAAGTCAATAATACACAGAATTCTTATCATTTTAACAGAATCGCACTATCAAGAGAGATTCAAGCGAAGGTTATATTTCTGACAAGTCCTCATCCAATGAAGCAATGGACCAGCTGAGCCCAGAAGCCAATGAGAGAGCAGGTAGGCGGGGTTTAAATGGTATTGACATTCAGTATCAGCTGGCTGCTTGCGCAAACATTTGCTCTGTGTTTCTGTGCCTTTGTCATTTCCTTCCTGTTGTCATAAGCAAAGCTGCCGGATGCTCTTACAAACGTTTTTTTTTGTAACACTTTAGTTTGAAGACCAATTCTCACTAGTAAAATATGAGAGAATGTCCACAGTTACGGAAAAGATCCTCTAACTTATATTTTTTACATTATATTTATAACTATGAAAGATTTTTTTAAAAATATGTTTAATATTTCTTAAGTGTTTTTTATAAAGCTTAAAGGCTTTGTCAATTTTAAATAATTAAAATAGCTTAATTTGTAGAGATTTATACACTGTAAAACATTCTATGATCAATTAGTCATGGCAACACATGTTTTTTATTCATTGTAACTTGTTAAACTAAGTTAATCATGTTCTAACTGAATTGTAAGTTAGACAAGCTGTTTTAAGTAAAGTTTCACAAACTAATTTCAAGAGGAGCATGTGATATGATTGACTGCAGCTGGTCACCCATCTACAATCATTAGTTAGCCAATCAGATTAATCTAAACTCACTACAAGTACCCTAGCTAGAACTACTTTCTTACCTTGGTTTTCCGAAGAAAACCCTATCCACCTCTTCTCCTCCTTTCCTCCTTTACCACGGGGAGCTCTCGAGAACCACCTGATCTCGTAACCCCCTTACATGCTCTATGGACCAGGCGGGAGCCCTGGGCTCAAATATCTCTGAGCTCAGGGTTCTCTCTCGGGAGAGCATGCCAAACCTAACATTTGTCAAACAATATCTAAGTGTGAACTCTTGAAGTCAGTTTAACAAAAAAGTTCAATGGACTCATAAAGTTGATTTGATTCAGCTTACAAATTTAAGGCAACCAGGATTGTTTTACAATGCAGGGATTGAAGTAGTTATGTTAGTTGTGGGTACTTTTCAAAGTAATTAGAAAGTCATTTAAATACATTTACATCATTATGTGTATTCAATTTTCACCATAATACAGCCTATTGAGAAATTATATGACCGTTCATATTACAAGAACCTCACATGGCTGGCAGGAACATCATTTTACTTTATTAAAACTTGGTGTAAATGATTCATAATTTAAGACATGACTAGGGTTCGTAGTCATGATTCATGAATCATTTACACCATTCGATTTAGAGTCCCAAGTTTTAATAAAGTAAAATTAAAACAATCATAGGCGACACAATGACTCAGTGGTTATCACTGTTGCCTCACATCAAGGAGGTCGCTGGTTCGAGCCACAGCTGGGTCAGTTGACATTTCTGTGTGGAGTGTGTGCTCTGTGTGTGAATAAGTGTGTATGGATGTTTCCCAGTACTGGGTTGCAGCTGGAAGGGCATCCGCTGTGTAAAACATATCCTGGTTAAGATATCGGTTCATTCCGCTGTGACAACCCCTGATTAATAAAGGGACTAAAACGAATGAATGAATAAAAATGATGTCATTTGTACATCAGCCTGTCTTGGAGTTGAATAAGGTCTGTGTAAAATTATTATAATTTTTTGTTTTGGTACATTAGTCTTTTTTTTCTTTGTAAGGAGAATTTAACATGCTGTTATGAAAGAAAATTTTCAGATGTAACTCTAACAATAAAGTATTTTGTATTGTATAACAATACATCAACAGACACACAAATAATAAATACAAAACAAGGCAGATAAAAGGGGAGAAAAGCTCAGATTACATATAAAACAGGACTGCCCCAAATAAAAGAGATTAGAACTTTGCTTATTTTCCAGATTAGAATACAGTTACAGTTTTTCTTTCAATTTGATAGGACAGAAGGTTAAATAATCCTAATATGGAGTCCAAACTTTGAAAATGTTCAGGTTTTTTTATGTAATACATGGGTAAGACGTTCCATGGGAATTAACAAAAAACAATATTAAATTCTTTTTTAATTATATCTTTGTTTAAGTAACTTGTTTAACACCAAACGCATGAAACATTTTTACAAAATAAAAACATTAGTTTTTGCAATTTGATGATGTTTAATTTTCTCTTTTTTTGCAAAGTAAGTCTGTTCATTTACTAAATAATGTTATGTTTGTTCATAAAATTCTTATAAAGGTATTTATTTTTAGGGATTTTATAGTATCGAGTCATGTAGTTAAATTACAAGTAATTAATTTACTTTTCAGATGGTAAATTAAAAAAAATAAATACATATTTTTGTCATTAGTAATTAATAAATGTTTTAAAATAACTTACTCAACTTCTCTCACTACCTACTTGCACCTATAAGCAGCAAATAGTTAATTAAGATGTAAATGTTGTTGTACATAATGAGGATTGGTCCCCAAACTAAAATCTAACCAATGTTTTTATCTTATTACATTTTTTGAATGACTAGAAATTAGGGCTGCACAATATATCGTTTCAGCATCGATATCTCAATGTGCACATAAGCAATAGTCACATTGCAGGATTTGCAATGCTGAGTTGATTACAGTTGACCAGGAAAAACAGTTCAGAACACATGAGAATTGTGTAGTTTTTGCAGAGTTTAATCATATTTGCACATGTTTTAAGGCCTGGCAGTTCAAAGAATTCAGACACAAGAAATTTTACCTGTTGTAACTTTAATACAGACTATTTTGTATTGAATTATTTATCCTTCAAAGACTTTTGCAGAGTTATTTTACATTTATTTTTCAAAATCTGTACCTGAATTTTATTTGACTGCCCTGAAAACATTATTTGTCCCAACAGACTTATCTCAATCAATCTAATTTAATAAATTCTTCCTAAACAGCAGTCATCTGGTGAAATGATATAGTATTTAAAGTATATTGCAGAAAATCTAAATTTTTCCAGTATCGTGCAGCCCTACTAGAAATTAAATTAATTAAATTAATTCTCAAACAAAGCCAAGTTGTTGTGAATTCATTCCTGATTTGTTCTCCTCTAGTCCTGGCTATGAGTGCCACGGCATCTCCTCAAGGGCTTCCGGGACAGGCTGCAGAAAATCAACTACAAACTCGCTCCAGGACTCACCTCAGCAGGCAGCCGGTCAAGTACTACAGACAGGGTTCAGCAGGAGCGCAGTCACGGAAAACAAGCGCTCAGTTGAGGGACGAGAACATTTCTGTGAGCGGAGAAGGACTCGTATCTGGAAGTGCAGATAGTAGTCGCAGCTCTTCTCCTGAGCCCTTAAAAACTCTCCTCTGCCTACAGGAGACCGTAGTCCCACAGGATAAGACAGAGAGTCAGACTGGAGCTCATGCAGGGGTGCAGAGGACAGTTTCACAGGAGTCCGTTCAAGCAGGAGCGTCTTCATTTGTCAGAGAAGGTAACACAAACCAGTCCAACAACACCCTACGGGGCAGAGAGCGCCTGATTCGCTCCTTGAGGAGGCGCTCTGTTGAAGAGAAAACGTCCCAGAAGGTGCTGTCTGGACTTAGGCTGAATTCAGGGAAGGGCGAGCAGCTTCATTTCGTTTGACACTGACTGAAACAGAGCTAACTTGTTTACTTGGGATTCGCCGGATTAAATCCCGATTTGTAAAGCAACAGTATTTTAGCATGTGCCGTACATTTTTAAGTCTTCCTGCTTTGTGGCCCATGAAGAATCGATAACTCATTTTAAAAGTCACCTTGTGTTAAATGATTGACTTTTACCATTTATGAATCCATGCAGCCAATTTCTGGGTCTGGCAGAAGCACTTTTAATTTAGCTTAGCATAGATCATTGAATCAGATTAGACCATTAGCATCTCGCTCAAAAAATATTTTTTTATAATTTTCCTATTTAAAGCTTGACTCTTCTGTAGTTACATTGTGTACTAAGACTGGCGGAAAAATGAGAAGTTGCTATTTTCTTGGTCGATATACAGTAGGAACAATACTCTTTATTCTGGTGGGAGCACTTTTAGCTTAGCTTAGCATAGATTATTGAATCGGATTAGACCATTAGCATCTCAAAACATTTCAAAAGGGTGTTTCAATAATTTTCCTATTTAAAGCTTGACTCTTCTGTGGTTACATCGTGTACTAAAACTGGCGGAAAAATGAGAAGTTGCTATTTTCTTGGTTGATGTACAGTAGGAACTACAGTATACACATTTTGGTCGGAGCACTTTTTAGCTTGGTACAGATCATTGAATCAGATTAGACCATTAGCATCTTGCGTTAAATTTATTTATTTTTTGGTAATTTTCCTATTTAAAGCTTGACTTTTATGTGGTTACATTGTGTACCAAGAGTGATGGAAAAAGGAGAAGTTGCTCTTTTCTTAGTCAATATACAGTAGGAACTATACTGTCATTCTGGCGTAATAATCAAGGAACTTTGCTACTCTACTATGCTGTAACTGAAGAATAGTCCAGCTTTGAGTACAAAAATTTTCAAAACTCTTTTTTGAAATGTTTCGAGCTGCTAAAGATCCAATCCGATTCAATGATTTATGCTAAGCTAAGCTAAAAGTGCTCCTTGCAGACTTGTAGATTGGCTGAAAAGATTAAAAAATGGTAAATCTCAACTGTTTAACTGTGTAGAGCTGTAAAATTAGCCCTTATTTCAAAATATTTGAAAATAAGTGTTCCCTTAACACACAATGCAGATGGCAGTTTCCGTTCTCACTGGATATCTGGCATAGATTTTCTGGTGTTTATTTGTGAAAACATAGACAGCCTGTCTTGTATAGATGTTTGATGCTGAAACATGACTCCTTTGGGATGAACGTGCTGTATGTGGAAACAAAACATGGATATTTGTTTTCTTTTTTTTCCAGAGTATATAAAAACCACTTAATTTTTTGTGTTTGTTTATATCTTTATCTTTAACTACTTTAACAGAGGTACTGTAGGTAGTGGTAGAGGTTATCTTTACTGATGTGTTTACATTTATGAGGAAAATAGAGTCTCCTTTTTAAGGGACAGTTCAGTGTTTTTTCAGATTTCCTCATCATTTGCTTAGATTTAAAAGGTTTTACACTTCGAGTTTCTTTTATCTGTTGAACACACACAAAAAGAAAAGATATTCTGAAGAATATTGGAAAAAATGAGTCACTGACACCTGTATAGTAGAGCACCATAAAAAATAATGGCAATTTGTTTTTTTCAACATTCCTCTTTTTATCTTTCTTTGTGTTCAACAGAAGAAAGATTTTTATATTCACAGATGTTATTTAATGTTAACCTGAAAGTTTCACAAAATCTTGAGGGAACTAGTGGTGAAATAATCCTGTGAGAAGGAAATGCTTCATTATAATAGTGGTATATTTTATTAGTTTTAAGTATATTATCAAAATGTTCTGTATTATGTAACGCAGAATGAATCTTCAGAGAGAGTTGAACATTTATATAATGGAAACGTTCTACAATTAAGTTCTGTGTTTTATCTTGTTGTACTGAATTGTAGACAATGGCTGGATCTAGTACTGTCTTTCCTAAAGTGAACTATAGGCTAACACAGCCAGTGGTGTAAAGTAACTACTTACAAATACTTAAATTAGTGTGATTGAGTAGTTTTTCCTCATGAAGTGCAATTTACTACATAGTTTTGATAATGTGTACTTTTACTTTCCCTTGAGTACATTTTTAGTGCTGTATCTTTACTTTTACTCCACTACTTTTCTTCAACTTGCAGACATAATTTTTTTGTCTATGGGGATTAGAAAAGTCAGTCGTTTGATTCCTGTATAGTTGAATCACTCTTAGAAGGTAGATTGCATCATAATGAACTACCTCAAGACATGTGCGATTCATAATTGCAGCAAACTGGAAGCATTAAATTTGTCCAAGAAGATGCCCAAAATCTTTACACGCATTGACCCAGAGTCTGTTTAGATGCATTTCACTGATGAGCAGATGACGGATATTTACTGTATGAAGACCAAAATGGCCTTTAACACCCAGCAGGACAGGTCATCAACATGATGTCAGACTGTCAGACGTTGTACCCTAACGTCATGGGGACGAGGCATTGTGTTTGGAAATGAAAATCGTGTTGGTGTCAGAACCTAACATCAGGCCAATGTCAGTGTCCAACCTAAAATCATGTTGATGTCCTGTGCCTGCATTGTAAACACTTTTCGGGTTTAGCCCCTTTTAAGAATCTGAGGTTGCCACAGCGGAATGAACCACCGACCACCAACTTATCCAGCATATGCTTTACATAGCAGATGCCCTTGCAGCTGCAACCCACAACTGGGAAACATTCATACACACTCATTCACACATACAGTTGAAGTCAGAATTATTGACCCCCCCCCCCCCCCCACTGATTATTTTTTCCCCAATTTCAGTTTAAGGGAGAGATAAAAAAAAATGTCAACACATTACTAAATATTATAGTTTTAATAGCTCATTTCTAACAACTGTTTTATTGTATCTTTGCCATGATGACAGTAAATAATATTTTACTAGATATTTTTCAGAACACTTCAATAAAGTGACATTTAAAGGCTTAGGTTAAGTAGGTTAACTAGACAGGATAGGGTAATTAGGCAAGTTATTGTAAAACAATGGTTTGTTCTGTAGACTATCAGAAAAAAAATATTGCTTAAAGGGGCTAATAATTTTGTCCTTTAAATGGTTCTTTTAAAAATGTGAAACTGCTTTTTTTCTAGCCGAAATAAAACAAATGATACTTTCTCCAGAAGAAAAAAATATTATCAGACATACTATGAAAATTTCCTTGCTCTGTTAAACATAATTTGGGAAATATTTAAAAAAGAAGAAAAAATTCAAAGGGAGGCTGATAAATCTGACTTCAACTGTATACTACGGACAATTTAGCCTACACCTATACCACGTCTTTGGACTTGTGGGGGAAAGCACCCAGAGGAAACCCATGCGAAGACGGGGAGAACATGCAAACTCCACACAAAAACGCCAACTGACCCAGCCAAGGCTCAAACCAGCGACCTTCTTGTTGTTAGGGAAACGTGCTGGGTGAGTAAATACAATAGTGACTTTACTCTTTAATTTGTTCTAGCTTCACCACCAACACTACTATTTATAGTAATAATAATACTAACAGTAAAACGGTTATCGCAAACAAAGGGCATCTGAAATCGCACAGAATAAGGTAAGTAACTAGGCCTACTTGTTTTGATTAAGTAATTACCAAGTAATCACTGAAAAAGTATGCTACAATGTAGCAGCAAATGTGTTTGTAGCTATATTATGAATGTGTTTTGGATGTAGGCTACTTCAGTCGACATGTAGAGATAGTAGTTTTTGTCTACATGGTTATTTGTTTTTTCTATATTAATTTACGTAAACATTTTGTCATCTGGGCCTAAATTCCCTGCTGAAAAATCCAGCTTAAACCAGCCTAGGCTGGTTGGCTGGTTTTAGCTGGTCGACCAGCCTGGCTAGGCTGGTCAAGCTGGTTCTAGCTGGTCATCTCCAAGCCTGACCAGCTAAGACCAGGCTGGAAATGGCCAAAACCCCTCTAAAACCAGTCAACCAGCCTAGGCTGGTTTAAGCTGTTTTTTTTCAGCAGGTTTTTTTTTTTTTCAACTATACTATTTCTAATGCAGGTCATCATACAATTGTTGAGAAAAGTTTATATTTTAATCACCTCTTTCACGTGACAAACGTCCTAAACATAAGCTGTCCGGACGATTTAGACGTGACTAAGAGGAGACTAACAGAATACATGAGAAAGTAAAGCGAAAAATGCACATTGAGGCCTTTAATTATCATCATCAGTGACGGGAATTATTACTCAGTAGTGCGTTATGCTTTTCAAATTCTGCTGTGCCTCTGTTAAGCCACTAGATGACAGGAGCGACACGCGTGAACCTGCACTGCATTTGCCTGATTGTACAATTTATCAATCTCCTAATTGGGTATCTTAATTACTTAAGAAAATTACCCAATCCTCAATATTAGCCGCTGTTTTGACAACAGACCTGTGAGTAAGGAATAATTAGTCCTAGACTGTAGCTCGCGAGGCATCTTTGTGGGCTATATTACAAACTGGCAGCTTTACTCGTGTCATTATAGCTAATATCTTTGAAAAAAAATGTTAAATGTTTATATTCGCTTTATGTTATAAATATGCAGACAACACGAAAATAACAACACATCTGTAATTTCTGTCGCCTAATACGCACACTAATGAGCTGTTTTCACCCGTAGGCTATATGCGCATGTTTACCTCTTCTTCACAAGTTAAACGCTTATTGTATTAACTTAAAACTGTATTATGTTAAAAAATATCTGCTATTTCTAGTCTAATAAATATTACCCAACGTTTAATATTATTAGGTTATCCATCCCATACAGTTATTATCTGATATAGGCATATTTCAAGTTTAAATTTCACATATATAGCATATAAAATATTGGCTATGTCATTTAACATCATTTATTGCAAAACTAGCCATTTACATGTGTTTTAATGTTCATGTGTTGAAATACTAATATGTATTAGTTATACAAATCTTCTAAAAGCTGTGTTCATATGGCCAAAGCCATCAGATTCCCCTGCGTTATGGAACTTTTCAGTACAACAGCCTATCAATCAGACAGGTAAGTGTTTTAATTGTTGGTCAGACAATTAAAGACAGATCCTCGTTTTCCTCTACTGAGTGTTTGTGTTTTACTTGTCGTTGTTTCTCTCCTCAGTGATTCTGCCCTCCTCCAGCAGTCACTCATCGTGCGTGCGCAGCTCGAGTCTTCACTCCATCACATAAAGCGCGCGCCTGAACATCACACACACACAGTCTGGCTCTGCTTGAGCGTCACTCCGTCTTGGACTATAATAACACTGAAGTTTGGCTTTTGGAGGTCTGTTGCCCGTCCCCTTCTTCAAAGGTATTTTGATGTTACCTACAGAAATCTCAGGAGGAGTGTGTTTCAGCACAAGGTGAGTGCGCGGAACGCGCTGACTGACTGACATCACCTGCTATTGTAAAGTATGACACACAAGATCGGCTACTTCATAATAATGAACTTTTTATGTGGCAAAGAATTCTGCATGGTGTTTTTATCTTATTTGTATTATCAGTTTTACTTACAAGCATGCACACAAACATTGCTTTTTAATATTGCATTACATTTTACAAAAAATGCGGTTTTAGTAGCCTAATGAATTTAATAATTTACGAATTTACATTAATGTATAAAAACAAGCTGAGAAAAATTACAAAGGTAAATTTTCCTTTAAATTTTAGTTAGATTTATGTCTTTAAGAACTGACGAATGTGGAGGAAAATAATTTGTGGAATTTGCAAGTATCAAATGTAAATACACATAATTTTAACACAAAAGAAAGGTTCTTTTACTTTTTTAACAATAGTTTAAACCTTCAGAAATCATAAAAATATCAGTTTTTGTTCCTCAAAACTGAGCAAAAACTAGATCAGTTATTGGCTATATTCTTTTTGGCAATCAATGCATAAAGAATCCTGCAATCTTTCAAATGCGCAAAAAAGCGGTCTTTAGGATCAGACTAAAAAAATAAAAGACAAATAATTTTTTCTCTGAAAAATAATTTAGGCCTATTGAAAGAACCGAAAAGGGTTATTTGGAGTCCCTTTAAAATAAACATTTTAGTTTTTTTTTTTTTTTTTTTTATTGTGACGTTTATTAATAGTTTGTACATTTTAGGACCAAGTTAGGCTAACCAATAGTAGTTGTCATAAAATCCTAAAATTAAACCTCACTATTAAACTAAATGATATATGACTTTAACATCAAATGTAACGAAATCCTTAGATCAAATGTTGGTGGGAGTATCTTTAAATAAGCCTACTTGGCATGACAGGCTCAGTTGTTGTGCGTGTTTCTGCAGAGGGTCTGTTAGCCGAAATCACAACAGCTTGTTTCCTTTACTGTGACAGTGAGGTGGATAAAATAAATTAAATAGAAAAGCACACTATTAAAACACATCTTCCCAATATTGATTGCATTTGGCTGCGCAAAAAAAATAACGATTGTGTATTAATAAATAATAATGCTTAAACACTTTCCACCTAATCTTGGTTATGACAGTGTGATTATTCCTCAGTGAGACTGATGACCCATTAGCCGTGTTTTTATTAATCAACTCATGCAATTAACTGCATTATTAATGTCTAAGACACGCGGTGTGATTTCAGACACGCAATACTACAAATGCAACAGTTTCAAAGGGGGAAAATGGGAAAGAAGCAAAAATAAATTATAATATATAAAACAACAAAATAATATTTTTATTAATATTAATAAAAAACTGAACAAGAATGAAAGGATTAGCCTAAATATATCCGTATTTTTTGCAGGAGCAATTTGGCTGTTTAATAAATGGCTGTTTTAAATCTAATGATGGACTGACAATGATTTTTTTTTTTTTTTTTTTGCCCAAATACCACAGAGCGCTCTTTAAGTGTCGGTCTGCCGCTCCGCGCGCGCCCTTATAAATCGGACACTTTACCTGCACGAGCTCATTATAGAACACTTATAAATACATCAATTAAACATTTCTATTTTACAACGATCGAGAAGAAAAAAAAAACATTGTCCCATAACCTATGCCCCTACAAATAAATATGAACAAGAACACAAACTAAGGTTCAGAACTTGACATTGTTCCAAACATACGAGATCACTTTTAGGCTACCCAACTGTTCCTGTCTATATGTATTTAGGCTTATCTATATGTATTTATATTTGGCTATTTTTTTTTTCAGTACAACCTGCTGATACGATGCCTTAAGTTCAGTATAGCCTGAAGCCGACATCAGCAATGGTGATCATGAAGAAGACAGTGTGCTATTGATTCAAACACAAAATACATACGATATAATGCCAAAAAAAAATAGTGTTGACATTAAAAGGCAAACAGTGTTTCTTAAAACACTATAAGGGCTACATAAAAGAGTAAAGAATATTCAGTGAAAATGTGCATGATGCAGAGCATTCCTCTTTACTTACATTTAAAATCGATAATTGATCATTTAATGCACCTATAATATATGCATATTATTTATAATTTCTTACATAACAATCTGAATTTAACTAGTTGCTGTATTGCCGAATAAGGCTACACCGCAGCCTTAAATAACAAACTCATTTACCTAACCTGAGCTTAAGTCTAACCGATCCACCTGCAAAGTGGCACACAATTGTTGTATCTTACAAATTTACGCTTTTAATATTAAATATTCATATTATCTGCATCTCAATTTTACTTGTAAAACCAATTTAACCGTATATAAGGTAGCCTAAATCAAACAAATAATCATCTTTGCAGTACCCCTTTGTTTAAATTCTGCTATTGAACGATTGATAAAAGGACTAAGCTGAAGGAAAATGAATGAATGAATTAATGAATGAATGGTGAATGAATGATGAACGATTGATACGATACTTTAGATTGCGTTGAATAGCCTAATCATATTTAAAATAAACACCTCAGCATCAGCATGTGTTACGCTTCAACTAACCCTGGGCCATAAAGGGAGCTCTGCCACCTGCTTCATGTTTCACACTGCTCGTCATTTAGCATGCCCAAAACAGCTAATTCAGGTCAATTTAAACACGCTACCCTTAAGCACTGATTGAACATTTACAAACCCTGATTTCCCGGCCTAATTTGCATATGCAGCACTCGACCTGCTTTCTCCGACACTACACGATAAAGTTAACTCTAAACAGACTTTTCGGTATAAACCGGTACAAAGGTGTTTTCTCCACTTTCATTAAGGCATAGGCTATTGACACTTTCAGTCAAACGCTAAAACAAACGCAATAATTAAAGCACGTGATTATTTCGGTCAATCAATTAACAGTCAAACGCTTCATCATCCTTTCAAACTGCGCATGCGCGAACGGCGTGCTTACTCTATTCTAGAACAAAGTGGGTTTTAACCCTGGGTTAAGAGCATTGCTACTAATCCCATAAACAACTGTAAAGCAATCTTTAACCCAGGGTTAAGAGCGGTATTTAAAATGATGACTCAAGGTTTAGAGCAGTGTAAAATGCCCTATTGTAGTCAACCGGTAGGCTAATGTAACAAGTAAAACAATGAAGTAGCTGGCTGCTATTAAAATTAGCACATACTAATGACGTTTTCTGTGTGATGTTGTTGGTCTTCAGTCAGCACTCCAAAGAAGGAAGGAGCGGAATGAAAACAGAAGAAAACCAGTCATGTCTTCAGCAGGCCCCCTCCGCCACACCTTACGGTGAGACACTGCCAATAATCTGACTATCAAACCCCTGTCAGTCTGTGTTATCTCCTTTACATTCAGTAATTCAGAAGATGCTTTTATGCTGAACGACAATAAATGTATTCAAAGCAGTAATAGACCAAAAAACACTATAGCTCCTTGTTAGTCTAATGCAGTACACCATTTTATAGCAAACAATCTTTGTTCTCAGAATGTTCTGGGACTATTTTTTTTTTTTAGATTTATTTTCTGTTGGTTAGTTAGGAAAGTTTATTTGCAAATAGATCACCACAGACAAGAGCATTCACAGAAAATTCTCTTTCAGGTTCCCTTTAACCTGTTACAAAAAATCTCCCTGCAGTGTTCCAATACAATCTGGATGCAGCCTTTATGATGCAAGCTGAGACGGCATCACTCAGCGATGCAATGTCAGACACAATGCACTCAAATGGAGCTAGTGACATCACTGACGGGTAGGGTTAGGGGTGGGGTTAGGTTAGACCAGTGGTTCTCAAACTTTTTTCATCAAGTACCACCTCAGAAAAAAATTGTCTCTCCAAGTACCACCAAAAATGAGCAGTATTGAAATACAGTAGCGTAGTAGGCTCAGTAAAGCGGCTACAACTCTGCTCAGATAAAAAACGTGGCAGATTACCTCAGAAATATAGGCTAAATGTCATATATGGCATATTATATACATCATTTTTGATAAATTTTGAAATATATGTAGCATGTACATGACATATTTCATTCCTCCGCGTACTACTAGAAGGAAGCCCGCGTACCACTAGTGGTACACGTACCACAGTTTGAGAACCACTGGGTTAGACCATTAAAAAGCATTGGATGCAGCTCAGATTGCACTGCACCCGGTCTGCATCCAGACCCCTCTGTAGTGTTCTGTTTGAGTTTTTAAATACCAAAAATAATCAAATGCAAACCACACGTATAAAAATAAAGGAGTCTGGAACCAAAAAGCTCACTTTCCAGTGAAGCCTATGAAGAACCTTTTTTTTTTTTTTTGGTACTCGGAACACAATTTATTGAGCAATTTAAGGCAGGGGTTCACAAGAGTTTCAGTCCGCGACCCCCAAAATAACAATGCCAGTGACTCGCGACCACAAATATTCTCTGAGGTGGTTATAAATATATAAACATTCCACACAACAGCGCACGCATACCAATAGGCCAAAGTCTATTCATCCTTTAATTTTGGAGAACGCCACTCGCAGACTATCCTCGATGTTCAATTGTGGCCTGTATTTTTTTTTAATGTACGTGAGTGACGTAAAGGTGTCAGAAAGTTTAACATGTTGCCATAAACTCAATGTGCTGCATCCGACGCTGTTGCTGTCTTTAATATACCGTAATCACCCCAGGGGTCGCAAAACCATTAAAAAGCTGATGACTTTTTTTTGTGCATGTTGTTTTATAATGTTTACTATTAACATGTTAATAATGTAGTAGAAAACACGTTGTTAAAATGCTGAGTTTCATGCAATTCCTTCAGGTTGCCCTAAAATAAGTTAACTTGATTTAACTGGGTTGAACATGAGACAGATGGATTTGCTCTTCAGTGTTTGGACTCTCAGTATTGAATATTAAGCCACACTGAACTTAACTAAACTGAACTTAAACTCTGAAAAGTGATCTGACACTGTTTCAATTTACTATAATTTTCTAAGGGAAGCGGCCGCTGCTTTGACACGATCTACATTGTAAAAGCGCTATAGAAATAAAGATGAATTCAATTGTAAATGTTACTATTAACTACTGTTTTGTTCGTCAGTAGGTTATGGATAAAATATGGTAATTCTAACAGTTTAATAAAATTAATTAGATTTTTGGAAACCGCCAAGTGACTCCCCCTCATTGTTCCATGACCCCCAGGGGGTCTTGTCCCCCACTTTGGGAACCACTAATCTAAAGGACGTTTTTCCAAATTAAAAAAAATTGTTTTTGAAATGAAGGGATGTTAAATGTTCTTCAGGGAAACATTGATGGCATTAAGAAAAAGCCCTTTATTTTAAGAGTGTAACATTAGTGTATGGGAAACATGTGGTTTGGTGGGGTAAAATTAGCTAATTATTGCTTGTTGACTTCATGTTAAAATAGCTTATTACTGCTGTCATCATGTCCTCTTTATATCGGTTTGTATCTGTGTTGAATAAAGTGGCATTTATATTTTAAATACATGTTTTACAGTAAAATATAGTGCAATACAGTAAAACAGATACAGTGTAGTGCATTTATAGTGTACTTAAATAGACGTAAAACCCAAACTCAGACACGTTCAGAAAACTGGTATGTACTCAAGCTATGTGACTGTGAGAAATACATTCACTACAAATGAATAAACGGCCAAATTAAATTGTTTAACTATAAAACAAAGCAGAAGCAAATATAGCTGTTAGGAGACATCACAGCCTGCACATCAGAGCTTACTGAACACTGCGAACACTGTCAGTGCTTTGTCAGTTCAATCTTATATTTCCAGCACTGCTCTTGTCTTGTCCTGTGTGAAGATGTGCTCGACTCTTTTTGCACTCATTTCTCATGTCTTCATCATTGTTTCTGTATTAAGCGTGTGGTTCGGGCATTTTGTTTTTGATTGCTGTATTTATTAAAGTACTTTTGGTTCAGCATTTGCCTCTTCTCTTTCAAAAAACCTGACAGACACAGCAGGAGTGAGAGGTCTGACTGTATCAGGGAAGCAAAATAGGTTTTTTGGTCTAAAAGTCACAAGCCAATCTTTTAAAATTAAAGTTTCTAAAATGCTCTGAAAAGTTGCTAAATTTAGCAAAAATAAAAAGTCAGCAACACTGGTGTTGGAGGACAAGAGCATTGTTATATAGTAGAAAACACATTGTAAAAAGGCTGAGTTTCATGCAATTCCGTCAGGCTGCCCTCACAAAAGTTTACTCAAATGTTTTTACAAATTTACGTGGGTTGAACATAAAACAATTAAGTTGTCACAAACTCTCAAGAATTGTGTTGATTCCTTTCATTTTTACTAAGTTGTTTGAACATACAGCTAAAAATATCGAGTCTATGAAAAGTGTTAGTAAAAAACTGAACTGAACTTCAGTAGTAAAACTTTTACTAAGCTAAACTGAATTGATTCCCAGTGATGGGTTGCAGCTGAAAGGGCATCTGCATTCTTAAAACAAATGCTGGAGAAGTTGGCAGTTCATTCCACTGTGGCAACCCCTGATAAATAAAGGGACTTAGCCGAAAAGCTAATGAATGGATGAAATTAATTATTTTTAATTTAACTAAAACTACACCAGCATCTTCACTGAACATTACTCTCTCCTGTCTGACTTGCTGGTCCAAAACCTGTAATATTGTTTAACTTATTTACTTTATTGTTTTAATATAGCTTTTTTTTTTCTTTTTGCTGCTTGTTCAAAATACTTATTGGGGGACGACTTAATTTTTTTCATGTACCACCCACTTAAATTTGAAAAAAATGATTAAGTTAATTTAATCGATTTGTGTTGGGACAACATGAAGAAGTTGTGTGTAACCCAGCATTTTGTACAAAGTATATAAATAAAGATGAATTGAATTGATAGAGGTGTTGATAAAAACAATAATCTTAAAACTATTCTTGAGAGTGATTAAACAAATCAGAAAATGGCAGCAATGGTTAAATCAACAAAATAGAGATGATTTAAGTGATATTGTTCTGGCTGATCTACACCTCTGCTTGTTCAAACTACTTTCTTAAAATGAACTAAATCATCACAATTCTTGAGTTTTTTTGGGGAAAACTTAATTGTTTTATGTTTAATCTACTTATAATTGTAAAAACAAGTCAACCTAATTGATTTGTGTTTGGAAAAAATGAAGGAATCGTGTGGAACCCAGCATTTTTTACAGAGTCATAAACCATGCAGAATAAGACCCAAGAGAAGGACAGAATAGAGCTGCGGTCACACTGCACTCTTCTCCCCAGAGTTTTCTATTCATACACACGTGAACGCGTCAGACCGGAAACGCAAGATCATGCGTCAAGTTTCACAGTTCACTGCTTTAGATAGTTCAAGATTGGTGAACTCTGACTTACAAAATCGCATCACGTGATTGCTTTTTAAAATGTCTAATCACCTTGTTTAATTCCACCCCTTTTCGCAGGGCCGTACAACAGAATTTCACATGCTTGAACTCTAGTGTGACCTCAGCATAAAAAAATAGAATTAAGTGGACTGAAAAAAAAAAATTTTTTTCAAACTACTTACTTAAAATGAGCTGAAACAACACATATCTTCAAAGTTTAGGGGGACAATTTAATTGTTTTATGTTCAATTCACTTAATTTGTTAATTTGTGGCCGAGAAAGCTTAGCGTGGTGCAATTTAAGAAAACACATGCAATTCCAAAAAGTGTCGTAAATTGTTAAAAAAAAAATCGTAAAACGTAAACGGATCCATCACATTTAAGGGTCTTCTTAAAACATTTCCATTGCGTAGTGAGAAAATGCAATGCGTTTTCGTTAGTTTGCGTTGTAAGAAAATGCAGCGCGTTTTTTAATAATGTGAATGCGTTGTGAGGATTTGCAGCATGTTTGCTGTCAAACAGATGAAGATCTTTTCTCAATTTGCTGCCGTTTTTTTTTTTTTTTTTTTTTTTTGGTAATTGCACATGTTCTTAAATTGCAGCATGTTAATCTCTCATGGCCACCATAGATTTGTGTTGGGACAACATTAATGAATTGTGATGAACCCTGCATTTTTTACAGTGTACAATCGTTCTTACAAATTTTAGTGACTTAAACATAAAACAATGCCTAGAAAAACTTTAGAATTGTGTTTTTCTTTGCTCATTTTAAATAAGTAGCTAAAATAAGGAGCAAAAATAATTTTTTGGGTCATTCACCATAACTGAAAAATGTACTTACTATTTACTCACCCTCAAAGAATTCCAAACCTTTGAGTTTCTTTATTCCATTGAAGACAAATGAATGTATTTTGATGTAAGCTGGAAACCTGTAAGCTTTGTCCTCCATTGTAGAAAAAACAAATGACAGGTTACAGGTTTCCAGCTTTCTTCAAAGCATCTTCTTTTGTGTTTAACAGTAGAAACTCAACAGTAGAAGTACATTGTCAATGTGATTTTGTTTTTATTTTGAGGACGGCACCACAATGCACTTCACTCCACATTTCTCCTTTTTGAATCTTTACATGTTGATCTGCATTCTATGATGTGTGTGTATTGCGTCTATTGCTGTAATGGTGCAATTATTTGTGTCCTGGCGTCAGCTGACTCCTGTTCTCCTCCACCAGACCATGTGGGAGGAGGTGAGGTGTGCGCAGGCTGCGAGTCCCCCATCGCGGACCGGTTCCTGCTGCGCGTCAATGAACTGTCCTGGCATGAGACCTGTGTGAAGTGTGCGGTGTGTCGCAGCGCTCTGAGCGGGACCTGCTACTGTCGGGACAGACTGCTCTACTGCAAGCACGATTACGAGAAGTAAGACAGTTCAGTGTTTATTCTAGTACTGTACACATGCAGTTAAAGTTCTGGTGTAGCAAAATCTTCAGCTTTCAGTGCACTGTAGAACATCCCTCTGATCTCTCTATAAATGTAGCATGAGTGTTTTTGTTCTGATCATGCTGTGATGCTGAAGCCTCTGTTGGGAAATATTAAGAATTTTGGAAATATCGTTTTTTTTTTTTTTCAGCCCTCACTGAAAATCCAGTCAGGGATCCATTTTATTTATATTTTTATAATCTTTTTATTGTTTTTAGCATAAGAAAACAATCAATAACACAAACAGAACAAAAAAGGGTACATAGGCCATTTCAAAATACACAAATAGTCGGACACAACATAATACAACATCATCCAGAAAGCCTAAGGAAATAAATAGAATTAAATATACAGTAAAACAATAATAATTTACAGAGAAATGTGTAGGCTCCACAACTCGACTTACTCCAGACCAATCCCACCCATAAAGAGTTACAAGTCAGCATTACAGATATAGAACATAGTTGGGTTCCAGATTTTAAAAAATGTGTTTAGTTTGTTTGTCATCCCATATCGCATTTCCTCCATGGGCAACATGTACTTAAGCTCCTAATCCAAATTTTGAAGACGGGCACATAATCTGACTTCCAATTTTGTAAAATTATTTTCTTTGCTAATATCATACACAAAGATCTAGAGAAATCTTTTATTTTTGAGGTGTCTCCGAAAATGCCCAATTTTTGATCTGGTGACAGATTAATCCTGTATACTTCAAATATAAAATTAAAAATGCTCTCAATCAGGAATCCATTTACCAAAACCATTGAAAGATAGCCAACTGAGATTGGCCAAAGTTCTGTCTTTACAAACATAGTTTATTATTTTGGTGTTGCCCGAATCCAACGTTTCAATGCCAGTGTCACAAACATTTGTGGTTGCGATTGCAACTGTATTGCAATTGTAGAAATATCTGTTAATTAAAAGTTTCCACATTTTGTGATTCATTTTCTGATTATTAATGTGAACTGCATTATGGGACATCGATCTCTGCTCTGTCGACTTTTGATGTTGTAAATTCAACTCTACAGTTTAACAAAGTGACTTTTATTGACATTTTTAGCGGTTTGAAATAACAGTGAAAGAAGTAATATATTGAGAAATAAATCTGTAAAATAACTAAAAATGTGCTGGCAGTTTATTACAAGGTTTTTGTACTGTGCAACACCAACCCTGACAATATATCACTTTCAATTATCAAAAATGTTTATAAAAGTCACTTTTTTGACCTTTTCAAAGTTAAAAGTTGCTGGAAGAAAGATCAGGGTCCCATGATGGAGTTCAATAACATAAATAAACAGGAAAAATAAGGAAAACTGATCATTTACATTTTTTTTTTGAGTGAAGAGCTGTAGTTAAGAGAATAGTTTATGGCTGTATTCTATTCCTAGTTATTACTCCCCATGCCCTGTTCCTTTCACACACTTCATGATCCACTGAAGGATTTTTAAAAAGCATAAAGTTGTCTCTCTCACATTTACTGTGATTTCATTAACTCTTCAGATGGACAATACACTCCCTTCAAAGTGCACTTTGAAATCATTTATGCCATTTTGAATGCAGCACGTGGCTCATGATGAAAGCTATAGGTGACTTGATATTATTTACAAGCTGAACTCTTTGATGCATCTCCAAAGTTTGTGAAAACAAAACGCATACAGTTGCAGTTAGAATTATTCATCCTCCTTTGATTGATTTATTTATTTATTTTTAATAATGTTCAACAGAGCGAGGAAATTTTCACAGTATTTCCAATAATATTTTTACATTTGGAGAACTGGACAACTGTTTTATTTTTGCTAGAAAAAACTTTTTTTTTTTTAAACACCATTTTTAGGTCAATATTATTAGCCCCCTTAATTGTGTTTTTTAAATGTCTGCAGAACAAACCATCGTTATGTAATGATTTGCCTTATTACTCTAACTTGCCTAATTAACCTAGTTAAGCATTCTAGTATCTTAAAAAATATCTAGTCAAATAATATGTACTGTCATTATGTCAAGGATAAAAGAAATCAGTTAATAAAAATGAGTTATTAAAATATTATGTTTAGAAATGTGTTGAAAAAATCTTATTTCTGTTAAACAAAAATTGGGGGTTAATAATTCAGGGAGGCTCAAATTATTACTTTAATTGTATGTTAATGGTTTGAATGTATGTGTACAACATGTATGCAGTAGTTTGAGTGTAAAGATGTAAAAATAGACCTTTAAAATAATAATAATTAACAATATCCTACTTTAAGAAATTATAGTATAAATCATTTCAGTATTGAATAATTAATTGTAATTAAATGCATCAAATAAATGAAAGCAGTTTTTACATCATTATTTGACCAAAGATCAAGGTTCTGTAATGCAATTCAAAAACATAAATAAACAGGGGGGAAAAATATGAATCACAAAATACGGAAAATTGCTAACTTACAGTTTACAATTTTAAAAAGAATAGAGTTTTCTCTCTCACATTTACTGTGATTTGCTGTCAAGGTATTTCGAGTTATTTTTATAGTTCAGTTTTACATCTTCAGATTTACATTTGTGCTCCCTTCATAGTGCACTTTTGAAATAATTTATAGCATTTTGAACGCAGCCATGATGAAAGCTATTGGTAACTGGATATTATTTACAAGCTAAAATCTTTGTTACATCTTCATAGTTTGTGAAAAAAAAAACATATGTTTTAATTTATAATTATAATGTATACTGTATTGGCCTACAACATGTGCAGAGGTATGAGTGTCAAATATTTAAAAGTAGACCTTCCTTATAATAATATTAATATTAATAAATAATAATAATCAATAGCCTACTTAATAATAGTAAAAATAATTTCAGTATTGATTAATTCATTGTAATTTTATACATCAAATAAATGAAAGTAGTTTTTACATCGTTATTTGACTATATATAGTTTCTATATGAGACATGTTAGATATTGTAACGAGTTAGAATAAAATATAGAAAATTATCAACATTAATGTTAATGTTGTGTGCTGTTAACTCAAGTGTTGTAGTTAAGAAAAAACTAAATGCATGTTTTTATCAAACTTTTATCAAGATTTTTTTTTTAAATGATGCGGATTTTCTCTAAAGAAGTTGTTACTTCAGTCCAATTAGAGTTTCATTGTGGACATTTTAACTAACATGGTTCAAGAGATGGTTCAGTGACTGAGAAATTACAGGTTTGAGAAACAGTTGCGTGTATTACATGGTTGTTTGGGAAATGCATCCCAGGTTAATTGTGATCTGGAAGACAATAAAAAATGTTTTAGTTGGGTAATTTTTTTATTTATTTAAAAAATGCAATTGTTTTAAAAAAAAAATGTATGCAAATATTTTTAAGATCTATTAGGTTTCAATGTTTTGTGAGAAAAAAAAAATAGGCAGATTTCAAAGATCTGTTTTTCGACAATCATGAGTTATAAATTTATTGAATTGTATTCCAGCTGTATAAGTTTGTTTTTGATCTCAACCAGATTTTAAAATACTTTGCATGAATGTACACTACTGTGCTGCAGATCAAAAATGACATCCAGAATAATGGACAACCATCAGATTTAATGGCAATGAAATATGAAGTGCCTTAAGGATCTGTCTTAGGCCCTTTACTATTTCAAATACACTTGCTGTCCCAGTAGACGTTATTAAATTAGCTTTCACTCCTATGCAGATGATACACAACTATATATTTAAACAAAGCTCAAAAACTATGATTCACCAAACAAGCTAAAAGACCTAGAAATAATAAAAAGAAAGACCACAATAACAATTAGAGTGGTTGTGCTGCATGTTAACATGCTATATTTGCTCCATTATGTTAAACTCCTATTGTTATATTAGGAAGTTGTTTCTAAGCATAGGTCGAGAGCTGTAGTTTAACCATACAAGTTTGTGTTGATCTTTGTGAACCCGATTTATAGAGCACATGTATAAGCTGAATAAATAAGCTTGATGTTTGGCTTGTTAGGATTGGACAATCTTTGGCTAGCTATTAGAATATCGTGAGTCTGAAGGTTAAAAAATAAAATCTAAATACTGAGAAAATCATATTTTAAGTTATGCAAATGAAGTTCTTAGCAAATGTTGAGTTTTAATAGTCAGAGTAGGAAATGTACAAAATATCTTAACTGAATATAATATTTACTCAATATTTTAATGATTTTTGGCTTAAACATAAAATCTCTTTTGCATTTACCCATACATACACTCAAAAATTGATGTTTGCTGGTTGTTCAAATTACTTAGTAAAGGTTCAGGAAACCCTGAAGTACTTTTTTTTTAAAGATTGTACCAGATGTGTGTGTTGAGCATCATTTAATTGTGGATAAACCTGGATCACTTTAATCCTTTGTCAGCTAATTTCATCTTCCGAGTTTAAAATTATTAGTATCAAAGGGGGCAGGATCAAAATCGATGACATAGCGCAAATCTTCTAGCCCAGTGATGACCTGTCGGTTTCTCATTATTATTCATAGACATGAGATTTCTTATCCTATGAGAAGACACTGCTTCTTAATTATTGATGACTGTATGTGCTTTGCATGAGAGTTGGAGAATGGCAGGCTTTGTCTTTTATCAGTTGAGTTTGTTACCATTCAGACACATTGCCTATATCTGTGCTGCTGTGTTCACGCATGGTTAAAGTTTACAATCCTCCAGATTACCGGCAGGGTTAATGGCTGAAATAAATAGGGCAAGAGACCTGCTGCACTGCTATCTCAGACCCGGCAATTTAGGAGGAGAGAAGTCCTCTTCATTTATAGTGTTTATTCATTCATACATTCATTTTATTTTTGGCTTAGTCCCTTTATTAGATTGGGGTTGCCACAGTGGAATGAATCGCCAACTTATCCAGCATATGTTTTACACAGCGGATGCCCTTCCAGCCACAACCCAACACTGGGAAACCCATACACACTTATTCACACACATACTCCGGC